TGGAACAGAGATACAAATGCAAGTAAAAACATGCTCGATATCTCTTGGGCCATTTGGAGAGGTGAAGGAAGACCCTCGGTTTTCATTAGAGAAATTGCCGTCGAGAACACAGTTCCCTCCAACAGGGTTTAGATATATACAAGTAAGTGTTTTATTCAAACTCAGTATAAAATATTAAAAAGGATACGAAATCTAGGTATACCTTCACTGTATATCATCCTCGGGAACCTGATACACTTGATTATACAAATATGCAACCAGTACTTTATGAAGAATGAGCTGTAATAGCTCTGGTAAATCAGTGCTTGGGCTTAACTGAGTATCTGGAGATACAGCGTTTAGGATATCCTTGGCTTTTTTGAAAGACATTTGTTGCAGTCTCTTCAGCTATATATAAAAAAGACTAGTCAGTGCACAGGTCGCGGCTCATCACAATATACCTTGTGTATTTCTCTTTCTGTAGAAAGGTGCTGCTTTAAAATCGTCTGATAGTTATTGAGCTTAATCTGTAGTATGTCATTGTGCGTTAGACACTCAGATAGAGCAGCTTGGTTTTGTTTTCTTCTATCAATTTCTTTTCCAAGCCGATCTTTGATCACTTCTATTTCACCTTGTAAACGAGCTGTTTTGGCTTCATACTGACTTTTTGCCTCTTTTAGCTTGGCTTCCCAATGTGTTTGAATTTCCATAGAATCTTTGGACATGGAAGCATGCAAGTCATCGTACTTTTCTTTCCATTCCTTGTTTAATTCTCTCATCGCATCTTCCTTCTCCAAACATAGCGCACGACGTAACTCATCTATAGCCGCGTTTTGCTCGATAGACCATACCTCTTTCTCTGTCTGATGCTGTTCACGAAGCTCTCGCAAGGTATCGGCGTGCTCTGACTGAAGATTTTGAATCCTTGCCTGGTGAGACATTTCTGACTGCTGAGCCTCCGACATGAACTTTTCCGTTATTTCCTGGATATGAGCGTCATGCCCTGCTATCACCTGATCTAGCCTCTTTTTATATTGCTGTGCTCGCTCTTCAAGTTCAGCTATTCGGGCTTGGTAATCTTGCTCACTTTTTATGTATTCCGTTATATCTGCAGTAGTCTGGTGATTCACTTTTAAATCTTCTATAACCCCTTCGGAATTGTCCGCCTGTTGATGTCATAGACAAGGTCAGTCCCTCCTCTTGTTTACCGTATAAAAGTATACCTCTTTTTCTTTTATCGGCTGTTCATTCCGCTCCACTGCCCGTTCCATATCGGCGATTTTTAATCTTAGAGATTCAATCAGCCTATCCTTTTCTTCATCTGTGCTGGTCTTTTCGAGTAGTTCTGCGTATTCTTTGTCCTTTGCATTAAGCCTTTCTTGAAGGCTCAGTAATCGACGTTGATATTTTTTGCCTTCTGTTTCTAAAGCCTGTTCATGCTCTGCTTTTAGGTTCTTTATTTGCTCTTGATAGTCTGATTGTTGATCTACTACTCTTTGCTGAAGAGCTAGTATCTATACACAATTTATGCACATCAGTTCTCTCTCTGGAACAAAAGCTATTTAATTTCTGTTCTTACCTGGCTCATGAGTGACTCTTCTACATCTTTTAGCTTTTTTTCCAAATAGGTTTCCTTTAGCTTTACTTCACGGAGCAACTAAATTTACGCGATCAATATATCATCCTTTATTGCTCGCACTTCTTACACTTGATGTATTTTTTTCAAATGTTGCTTGTTCTTCCTGCAATAACTTTTCTAGCCTCTCTGCCTTTTCACGGCTTTCTTTATAATTGACTAAGAGCTACACAATATAGTTTTTTTAGCGTCTGGGATGCAAGCCAAGATAGTATTAGGTTACAGTGGCTCTCTCAACTTCCCAGTCTTGAATAGGTGTGGATGGCCCAAGCGTCAGCTGTCTCTTTGGGCTCTTGGGAGATACAGGAGAATCCATAAAAAAAAGAGAGAGAAAAACCAACCGGAAAAAAAAAAGAGAAAAGAAATAAGACAAACAGTGTATCACGTTGTACATGATCCCTTTTTTATTCTAGTAAAGTTACTCTTCCTCCTCTCCTTCCTCATAGCCTTCTCCTTCGGCTTCATCCATGACATAATCATCATCTCTTGGCAACGTTTGCATGATTATGTTTATCATATTTTCTAAATCTTCTTCTGAGAAACGTTCTTCACACTCTTCAATGACCTAAAACAACGAGTAAGTCTTTGTGCGGTGTCTATAAATGAACAACACTTGCCAAGTATATCTCAACTGCACTCTTTGGCCGTAAATTAAGTATTTGAAGCTTTTCTGCTCTTGTCAAATCAAATTGTGATATAGCTTCCAGAAAGTTGGTCACTTGTGCTGGTGTTTGTGAGCCTACAGGTGTTTGTTTCAAGTATTCTGTCAACTAATTAGAATGTCAATATTCCAAATACTAAATAAACCAACACAATTGAACCTCAAATTGCACCGTTCGTAAACTCTCTGAGTATTCAATTGACAGATCTTGTGCTTGTAATAGTTTTTGGTTTTGCTGGTTTTCTTCTAAAAGTCTCAATACTTCATAATTTGTTATAAGCGCAGATCGTGCATTCTTGATTTGCATGTTTAATGTTGAGAAAAAAAAAAAGAGAAAAAAAAAGTCACCTCGCAGGAACAGGGCAAAACGAGTTTCCGTTTTTTGAGCCAACATCTTACTTTTTATTCAGCAAATGGTGGGCATCAAAGACAAGATCGATGCTTTGGTTAATGGAGAGCAACCAGCTTCTTATGAACGAAAAAGGAACTACAACTTTGGTGATGACTTGGGTAAAGAAAAGTAAAACTTGTGATATTAATATGACATTGACAGTCAATAATAGGCAGTGGATCATATGGTTATGTCAGACAAGCAGTTCGTATAGCAGATAATACACCTGTTGCTATCAAGATTATACCCAAAGATAAACTGGATGGTAAATTTGATATGGTCTATTCCGAGATGAAAGTTCTCGAGGGACTTTCACACCCAAACATCATTGGATTCTACGATTGGTTTGAGTCACGGTAGGCTCATTCATGGATCTATTGAACCTCTTGTTCACATTTTTTCAATAGGAATAAGTTCTATCTTGTGTTTGAATTGTAAGTGTCAAAAGATAGTTATATAGCTTTGTTTTAATTTTCTGAAAAAAAAAAAAGAGCAACAGGAGGAGAATTATTTGAACGTTTATTTGAAAGAGGAAAATTTACAGAAAAGGATGCTGTCAAAATCGTTAAGTCAATTTTAAAAGGGCTTGAATATCTTCATAAACATCACATTGTTCATAGAGGTAAGATGCTGTTGTTATGGTTACTAGTTTACTGAGTGTAGATAGATATCAAACCCGAGAATTTAATATTTAAAACAATGGATTCTGATGCAGATCTGGCTATTTGTGATTTTGGGTAACTATGACGACAAATACAAGTTGCATTCACGCTTATTCTTCTCTTTTCAGCATTGCCAAGATGGTAAAGGATGATGATATTGGATTAAAGACTATCTGTGGAACAGCTAGTTATGTTGGTAATGAATCATAGATATACAGATATCACATTACCTAAACAATCGCTATTAGCTCCCGAGGTATTACTGAAAAAGCCATATAGTTTCCCAGTCGATATATGGGGAGTAGGGTAAGAATGAAGCAACACTCTTGTTTTACATGCTCATTTTTACCATTGTTCTATATAGGATTGTTACATATATTCTGTAAGAGAATCATACTATATGTGTATTCATGCCTAAAGTATATTACTAGCCTTTGTGGTTATCACCCATTCCAAGGAGAGACTCAGCAAGAACTATATGATGAGATAACGCATGGTCGATATGAATTCCACTGGAGATATTGGATGAACGTGTCTGGAAATGGTAAAAAAAAAAAAGAATATAGTCGAGCTTTCACTGAAATAGTGTGTAGCGAGATCATTTATACAGAAATGTCTCTCACTCAATCCAAATGAAAGACCGACAGCAACAGAGGCACTAAATGACATTTGGATGAATAGTGAGGAAGCCAAAGATGTGGATCTTTTGGATACAGTCAAAGAAAACTTTAATCCTCGACGAGTATTTAGAAGTGCCGTAAGCGCAATTAAAGTGATGAACAGAATACGTTCTCGGTCTAAACAAGACTAATTGCAATTATTTTTCATTTTCAATCTTTAATAATAAAAATACTTCTTCCTTAGAAGAAGTTACCAAAAAATTAGGGTAAACTTCCTTAGTGTCCCACATCCACGGAAATCTTTAGTAAAAGGCGAAAGATTTATCCGATCTGAGCATAGGACGGAAGTACGAAGAATTAGAAAAAACCCAAACTAATGGGCATCTTTTATACTTTTTTCAAATCGCTTTAAATCTCAGAAAGTTTGAAAATTTTTTCACAGTATTCAAACTCCTTTCGAAACAACACAGTCTAAAGAAACACCAATCGAAGAAAAAAGGATAAAAGAAGACCATTTCCGCGGAAGCAGAGTGTTTTATACATGAGAAAAAAAATAATTGAAAGCTGGATATACATCATTATTATTTATTTTTCACTTGTTCTTCCTTTTTGCCTTCTGCTTCTTCCAAGAGTATTTGTTTAGCCCTTGTCAGTACTTCAATCTCAGCTTGAACGTGGTCTTCTGTCAAATCTTCTCCGATTATAAAGTGTGCGGTTGATGCAGTGGTAGTAGTCACAGGTTTTGATTCGTCATTTGTTTGCCCTTCATCCAGATTTGTATCCGTAATCTTGTCGTACATTTCCTTGTATACATCTTTTTTGGCACTGTATACGCTACGTATTAAATAAGGATGGCTATCATAAATTAACCGAGATGCCTGGAGTAAAGCACCATTGGCATAATTGAATCTTTCTTTAGCCGAATCAAGCGAGTCTTGTAACTCGGCCACTGCCTTGTCAATAACATCAATTGCAGTAGGAAGTTTAGGTCGATTTCTAAAATAAAACGAGTTAATTGGGGCTTATGTGATAGTTTGGTTTAACTTACAGCATGAATTCTGATAAAGATGGGATTTGCTTGCCATACAAGTTGGAAATTTCAAAAGTACCGTATGCGTATCTGTATTTTGTAGGTGGTGCTTCCAGCCTTGGTTTTTTAGATTTCCATGCTCTTTTTAAATCACTCATGCTAATAGGAGGCTTTTCAAATGATGGGCAGCCTGAAGCTTTCCAAATGATCTATATGAATCTTTAATGAGTATTGACTTGTGTATATATTCTATATGTTTGCATATACCCAATGACGTTCATGAGTTATTATAGTTAAAATAATATCAGTATACAAGTTTCCATGAGGCTTTGTTGATCGCAGTAAGCCAATCAAAGTTTCTCTAGTTTCTTCTATCCACTTCACTTGTTCCTCAGAAAGAACATAACTAGGTTGTACTAACGACTGCTTGGTTGTGCCCCTTGCTGCTAATAATGCTGCAGTTTTGTCCTTTTCTTCTTGAGAGAACCCAGAAAGATATTGAAAGAGTATTAAATATTGAACAATGACACTTCTCCTAAATCTAACATCCTCCATCTATCTCTTTGGTGAGCTTCATCTACTGACAATAACATGTTTGCGAATACCTCCAAATCTAACAGTCGTCTACTGCTAAGTATTCTCGGGAATTGATATTCATTATTAATTTGATTTAGCAACTCCTCTGCTTCTGCTGGATCTTCATCCATGTAATCAGGTCTTGGGCGTTTTAAACCTAACACTTCTTTATTACGTGCGCCCATGATTTCCGCTTCTTTTTGAGCAATATTTTGAAACTTTTCTACGATACCATTTGTACCCTAGGATACGGATAAATGCCTTTGTTCATACACTATTAAATATACCTTTTGAAGATTTTCAAAGTTGTTGTCTAAAAATACAGATGGAGGATTGGCAAAATAGACGCGAGTAGACCAAAAGAGTTTATAGAATGCTTTTTGTTCGTCTGACAAATTTGGATCTGCATCCACTTCTTCATCTGGATCATAATGAATAACATTTGTATTGAAATCTCCTCTGAGGTTGACACCAGATCTTTCTCCAAGAGGAAATGAGTTGGCAAGAAACATTAAAATACGTCCACAGAATACTGTATTGATTTCTTTTGACATTCTACGAAGTAATTCGTTGCACATTCTTAAAAGAACTAACCCTTTTCCTTTTCCAGGTACCATATTCTAAAGAAACTCATCAGTCATGGTTCTTTTTTTATGTATTCATATTCTTACAGCTGTCAATCTATCCTTCCTTTGTTCGACGTAATCAAATATTTTTTCACATCCTTCAGTTGTATGTAAATCAAGTAGTTCTTCAACAAATGTAAGTGGTATCACTTGATCCAGTAAATCTAACAACATATTGTTGGAATAAGTATTCAGTCTAATCATATGTTCATATATTACCAATTTCTGAGCAATACAAGACAATATCACAACAATCAAATATCTTTTTCAGTCTATCTTCATTTTCTTCTGTTTGCTATTAATTTTGTATTTAGTTGAATCTAAAAACAATAGCAATAGAAATCTTACAACATTATGTATCAAAGCGCGTCTAAATGCAAGTTCTGTTGCACTTTTACGCCAATCAGGCTTTCCTTCTACAATTGGAATCTGTAGACTATTTTCTTGCCCAGTTAATGGTGAAATGTGTTGAGTTACAAGTGACTCAATAAATGATGTTGGTGGTTCTGCATTAACGTTGTTTTGTCTATATTCGCTAGTAGCTGAGAGACAAGTGTTTATTGCCTTTTCAATGCCTTCACGAAATTGTGAAAATTTTGACATTATTTTTTTTTAGAAAACAATAGTAAGAAAGAGGGGAAAGAGAGGTCAAACAGAAAGAAAGAAAAAAAAAAAATGTCAGCTTCAAAGTCTATGGATGATTTCTACTCCGCATTTGCAAAAGCTCTGATATAGTGCACTCGTTTCAATTCAATAACAATTACACTTTAGTTGGCTATCAATCCTTCCTTTATTATTAAAGAGACAATGAATTCTACCTTTTTGAGAGATATATAAGATAAATATGGTCAGCACTTACAAATAACACGTAACTGATGATTGGTAGAGACTTTATTTAAATAGTCTTTGACTTTTTTTTCTTTTCTTTTCTTCTTTTGGACCAAAAAGCAAGACCAGCTATTCTCCAGCTAGCCCTCAGGTATGTTATATTCTTTACTCTTGCAAGAAGCTGATATGTAGTACTATAGATCATAAAATCGAAACAGTACCGGTGCTAGCTGGGGGTAGTTTGGTTATTACCAAACTTGGTCCCATCCACTCTCTCACTTGCTCTTCTCTTTTCTCTGGTTTGCTCTCTTTTTCTTCTTTCTCTGTTCTTTCCGGGCTGGTTATCGCCAGCCCAATCCAGGATACACTTCGGGTAGGATATTGGTTATTTCTTTACAAGTTTACTCATTTTTCTTGCTTCTCTTTTTCTCTTATAAATCCTCTTCTTTAATGCAAGTATTTAAAATTAATGTAAATAACTGATTTACTGATCGTTTCTTTTATATCCCATCCTTTTGCTTCTTGTGGGCTCCCTTTTATTATCATTTATTGTCTCATTTGTTGTCTGAAATTATCATTTTTTTTATCAGTGTGTGAATAATTTGTGAATGAAGTGTAAAAACAGATCAAACTGAACCACATCCTTCATCCATTTCCTTTTCTTCTTGTTTAGTCAGCCTAGAAAGTGTCGCTCTAGCCAATAGTTGTCTTCTAGCCTCAGGATCATTATCCAATGCGGCGACAGAACTGCCTCCTAGACGATATGTTCCTGCTTCATAACCTACATTATCCATTACTTCTTCTTCTTCAGGATTATAATAGCTTCCACTGCCTAAACTATGCCCTCCATGTGCAGTCCAATCGAGAGCAACAATGTCCTTGTTTAATTGTCTATTGAGTGCGTGAAAGTTATCATCATGCTCACCCCACACCTAACAAAGATGAATTAGTACTTTTGAAGCGTAAATATATGTTACTTGTAGGCTTACATTATGTGTTAGTTCATGTAACAACACTTTACGTATAGAATCATAGTGTCGAAAGCCAGAAAGATCATCAGTACGTAAACGCAAGGCAATTAGCTGTCCTGCATTTCGATTATATCCCAAGATAGATGCTTCAAATGGTGTCAACTCTATCAACTCTCCAACTGACCATTTTCTTGCCTTCATGATAGCCTGTATCTGAACTAGATGTTAGTTTCTTTCTATATATATATATATATATATATGCCTGTTTAACTTACGCCTCGATCATCTCGTAATCTTTCAAGTATCTTTCTAGCCTTTTCAGGATGAGGAAATTCTTCAATGACTGATATTTTATGAAACGTATATTTCATCTCTTTCACTGACTTTGGCTGTTGCTGTCTTTTCATGCGGATCATTGGTACTATCTTTCTTTGCTCCATTAATTTCTTATCCATGTTGTTCACTTTCTCTATTGCTTTCTGAGGACTACCCATCAAAAGCATTCTATTATTGGTTGGACTGACAGAAGGAAGGTCCTTGAGCTGTATATTGTTGTCTTTGAGTATTTTTCCTTTCCATAAAAGCTTTTGAGCGTCTATTGGTATAGAAGTTGTTTCCTCGAGGTATTCTTTGACTTGTTGAACAGTAGAATGTAAATCCCATTGTTCCAACAAGAGTGATTGTGATTGATAACCAACTTGGAAATCAGTCTTTGTAAATTCTGACATTATGATTTAGTAATAAAAAAATGAAAGGATAGCCCCTTCTCTCCCTTTTTTATACGCTTGATTAATAATTATGCGTAGCTCTTTTTTTTTTTTTTTTTTTTTTTTTCCAGAAGCTTTTTCATGACAAATAATATATGTACACACATTTATTAAGTCGTGGGTGTTTCCGGTTCTTCATTCATAAACACACAAGAATCAAGCACACGACATTTTTCTTCACTCCAATAAATAAAGTTTTTACGTAATAAAAGGGCCCAAACATAGGGTATAAAGAATTCGTACGCATCAGGTTCTTCTTCATATTGAAACTTGAGGTCGGGAATAGACTATAGCAAAGTTAGTCTATCTTGAATTATTATCACAGCTGACTATAACTTACCTTCATCTTTTGATTGGACCAAGTACGAGAAGCCTCTTCAATGATTGTCAACACTTCGCTTGATGAAGGCGCTTTCAGGTTGGCTTCGGATACTCTTGTACTGAAATAATTGATCACTTGGTCCAAGTTCTTTGCTGGTTCAGTCAGTCGTGGATGAGATTGAAAAGGCGTGGATATCTCTCGCTTCAAGAGTAAAGCATAGACTAACTGAAGATTATGCTTCAGACGATGGAATAGAATAGAATTGATGATTTCCAACATAAACATCAATACATCTTCGTAGACAATTGTATCCTCATTTGGCTCCTTTTCAGTCAACTTTAGATATCGCTTGGTTAGTAATTCGAATAGGCTATATAGTAAAAATGAGATCACAACGGAATAGTTGCGCATTTCTAAATTTACTTTATCATCCTTTGTGCTGTATAAGCATGCATGTCTAGAACAGTGCTTGACATGTTGGCTAAAATGGATAAGCAGCTGGTATGGAGATAGATATCCCTATGCGTAGACAAATTGAGCTGCAGTGTACGAATCATGACCAGGACCATGAGTCCGCCTAGAGATATGGACTTTAACAGAGGGCGTTCTGTAAACCAAGTGATGTTGTGAACAGCCTATTTTTTATTATTATTATTATTATTATTAGCCAACGGAACTTCCCCTTTCTAAAGAGCAACTTACTATTTTCTGTATTGCATCATTATTGACCTCATCTTGACTTAGAATAAGAAGGATTGTCATGAGAATATAGACTTGAGAATAGTTTGCCTTGCTTTCCATTGACTCATAGATCAATTTCAAGATGGGTAAATACTAAAAAAAAATAAAAAAAAATAAGAATATATACAAAACGCCATCAATAGTCAATACTTACAATAATCTCTTGATCAGTTCTTGATAGTACATAAACCCTAAATGACTCATTCTCTGCCAACATCATATAAAACAACAGCATCTTTTCTTCTACATGAAGCGATTTTGTAAACATTTCAAACAGTGTCTTGAATGAAATTAAGTGCATCTTGTGATCACATCCATCGATATCTGTTGATATCACTATCGTTGTGCATTCAGTTACTATTTTTTTTTTGTCAAGTCTGTACACTTACCACGATGATCACCAAGACTAGACACAGCCTGTCTGAAACCAGAAACCCATACTTGGTATCTTTGCCTGGACTGAAATCCGAGGAGTAATAAAAGTAGCAAGCTGAGGTCAGCAACAGGTACTGTATTAGGGGACGACGTTCCTTTTGAAGAAAAAAAGTAATTATAGGCCGTGTACATCACACTAGACGATTGAGGTGGAGGCTGACTCTGTTCGATGACGTTCTCCAACAGCCTTGCGACTACAGCATCTGTACGATGGGAAAATTTGGACATGAATATATCGAGAAAGTAATGCGAGTCTTCAAACTTGAGTGGATGTCGCAGTTGAGTCGAGAACAGAGTAAGAAATGTATTGATAATTTCGACATAAAATTCATAACAAGAGTAGCTTGCACTATAAAAAAGCGATATGAATAAGACATAACAGATAGTACATCATTTACCTTGGATCCATATTCATCAACATGTACAATAATGACTCCAACAGTTGCTCTGCTTTACATTCATCTTTATGATCTTCTATTTGTTCCATAATTTCCTTATTTGTCAAATTATCTGCGAAATGCTTCATAAATACACGAGTCAGGAACAATGCATTAAAGGCTTCAACAGGGACAATACTATAAAGTAAAGCATAAGATAGGGTTGTTCTATGGTTATGAATATAAGCATCACTTTTGATTACTCTGGATATTTTTGATGAATGATTTGTTTTAACAAGTCCAATAGCTTGTCAATGAGTCTATTGAAATTACGTGTTCTCATGTTGTTTGCCGCTATGAAATATATGAATAATATGATAATAATAGTAGAAATGAAATTACCTAATTCGATAGATAAGCCTAGTGTTGTCATTTCCAAATCATACATATCTTGTCTATAGAATATTTAATATGTTTACATGTATAGTTATCATATTTACGTTGTATGACAAATAGGATATTTCTCTGTAGAAAGAAAAGAAAAATCATACATGCGACATGTAGAACAGATGGGTCTAATGCTGGCTAATTGTAACTGTGTGAAATAACAGCGGTGTTGTTGTTCGGTTGTAGGCGACTTATTATGATGCCTTGTTTCCTGTTGAATAGAAAATGTCGAAAAAGCCTCGGATAATTCAACTGAATTAGGTGATGGATAGTTGGATGGTCTCTTTGAAGCACTAAATGTTCTGTTGGGAGTAGTCACCAGTGATGGTAATTTACTTGAGGAATTCATCACTTTTTGGTACACAAAAAAAGATGTGTGTCTAAAAAATCAAAAATCTTACATTATTTAAAGTTTATTTTCTCTTTCTCTCTCTCTCTTTTTTTTTTTTCTCTTTTTCTTTCTTTCTTTACTTTTTTTTTTCTCTTCTTCTTCTTTTAATATTATGTCAAATAATATTAAGGTCGTCTGTCGTTTTCGACCTCAAAATGCCCTAGAAATAAGAGAAGGAGGTGTACCTATTATTGAAATCGATGAGGAAGGAACTCAGATAGGATTGAAGGTAACAATATCTGTTTTGTATTAAACCCAACTAAACAAATCTCTTTTCAGGGCAAAGACTTCCAAGGATCTTTTTCTTTTGATAAGGTGTTTGGAATGAATACGCCTCAGAAAGATGTATTTGAATACTCTATCAAGACCATTGTAGATGGTAAATATATAAAAAAAAAGCAGTTTAAATTCATCTAAAATATACATATTTCTAAACTTTCATATCAGATGTCACGGCTGGTTATAACGGAACCGTCTTTGCATATGGTCAGACAGGTTCTGGTAAAACATTCACAATGATGGTAATTTCTTTTATATACATATATTTTATGCATGAGTGTGTACTTAGTTTAATATAGGGTGCAGATATTGATGATGAAAACACAAAGGGTATCATTCCTCGTATTGTCGAACAGATTTTTACAAGCATCATGGCTGCACCAAGCAATTTGGAATTCACTGTCAAAGTGTCATATATGGAAATCTATATGGAAAAAGTCCGAGATTTATTAAACCGTAAGACAATGCTTTTTTATGTCTTGATATGCTTTTAGTTGACGATCATGTTATTACAGCTTCACAGGATAACCTACCTATTCATGAAGACAAAACACATGGAGTCTATGTCAAGGGCTTACTCGAAGTCTACGTTGGTTCATCGGAGGATGTGTATGAGGTCATGAGAAATGGTAGTGCTAATCGTGTGGTATCTGCTACCAACATGAACGCTGAAAGTTCTCGAAGTCACTCGATCGTTGTCATCACCATCACACAAAAGAATATTGACACAGGGGCAGCCAAGAGTGGTAAACTCTATTTGGTTGATTTGGCAGGTTCCGAAAAGGTGGGAAAGACAGGTGCTTCCGGTCAAACATTGGAAGAAGCGAAAAAGATTAACAAGTCTCTGACTGCATTGGGTATGGTTATTAATGCACTGACGGATGGAAAGGTAAATAATAATAATAATACAGGCTTTCTCAAGCTGACTTTATATATATCTAGTCAAGTCATATTCCTTACCGAGACTCCAAGCTGACCCGTATTCTGCAAGAATCACTTGGTGGTAACTCACGCACGACTCTGATTATCAATTGTTCTCCATCGTCGTACAATGAGGCTGAGACACTCTCCACCTTACGTTTTGGTATGCGAGCCAAGACGATCAAGAACAAGGCCAAGGTCAACGCTGATCTGTCGCCTGCTGAACTCAAAGCACTGCTCAAGAAGGTCAAGTCCGAGACGGTTACCTTTAAGCAGTACATTGCTGCCTTGGAGGGCGAAGTCAGTATCTGGCGATCGGGTCAAGTGGTGCCTGAGGATAAGTGGGTGACCATGGACAAAGTCACACGAGGCGATTTTGCTTCTCTACCCCCTGCCTCTGGTTTCAAGAGTCCTTTGCCTTCTGACGACTTTTCTCGTCCAACAACCCCTGCGATTGTACTCGAAAAAGATGAGCGTGATGAATTCTTGAAAAGAGAAAACGAACTGATGGATCAAATCGCCGAAAAGGAAACAGAACTGAGCAATCGAGAGAAGCTGCTCGAAAACTTGAAAGAAGAGATTGCGTACTACAAGGAACAGGAACAGTCAGTCACGCAGGAGAACCAGGTCATGACATCTGAATTAAACGAGTTGCGTCTGCAGCTGCAAAAGATATCCTTTGAAAGTAAAGAAAATGCCATCACTGTCGACTCGTTAAAGGAAGCGAACCAGGAACTCATGTCCGAATTGGAGGAACTCAAAAAGAACTTGGCCGAGATACGTAACGCTCAAACCAAGGCTACTCAGAGCGACAAGGAAAGAAAGAAGGCTGAAAAGATGGCGCAGATCATGTCCGGCTTCGAGGTGTCTAATGAGATGAATGAAAAGGAACGTCAGATCAGAGACGCTCTTGTCAAACTTGAGTTGGATGGAAACGGTCTTAGTGTCGAAGAACTCGTTTCCTTACGTCGTGACCTGTCTGATTCACGTGCGCTTGTTGAGCAACATACCAAGACGATCGACGACTTGACCCAGGAAAAGAAATTGATTGAACAAAAGAAGACAGAACTTGAGAGTCGATTTGCTAATCTTGAGCAAGAATATGAAGAGTTACTGGATAAGACGATTGCTGAAGAAGAAGCACAAATTCAAAAGAGTGCTGATATTGATGAAACAATCAGTGCTCTTAAAGTACGTAGCTTTGTTGAAATGATTTTTTTTATATAGTCCAAATTAGAGCAACAGTACATATCCAAGAAGGAGGCTCAACAGAGAGAAATTGATGAACTCAAGCAACAACTGGAGCAAAAGACAAATGAACACACTAGATTAAGTACAACTATCAATGACTTGAAATCAGTCAATGATCAACTTCAGGTAAAAAAAAGAACAAGCAATGGTAAATGCTTTTCATTCTTATGCAATATTATTTTTAGACTGCTCTAACCGAACAAGCACGCAAAGAGCCTGCAGATATAAGCGAAAAAGAAAAGGACCTTGAGCGTATGAGAAAGAGCATGGCACAGCAGTTGGCCGATTTTGAAATGATGAAGAAGGCTCTCATGAGAGATCTTCAAAGCCGTTGTGAAAAGGTAGTTGAATTGGAGATGTCCTTGGACGAAACTCGTGAACAATACAATAATGTGCTAAGAGCCAGCAACAATAAGCGACAGCAAAAGAATATGGCCTTCCTTGTTCGTGACCTGGAACACTTGGCCAACGTTCAAAAGCAGGTAAGATAAAGATTAAAAAAACTGAGAAAACCAGAGAGATACTGACGATGAAAAAAGCTTGTTGAACAAAACAGCTCTCTTAAAAAGGAAGTTGCATTGGCAGAGCGTAAACTGATTGCTAGAAATGAACGCATTCAAAGTTTAGAAACCTTACTGGGAGAAGCACAAGAGAAACTACTCCATCAAAACCAAAAGTTCGAAGCTCAACTTCAAACAGTACGAGACAGATTAGGACAAGCAAAGCTTCAGAAATCGAGCCAACCTTCTCTACAGGCATTATCTCTAAGTAGAATAGCTAAACCATTAAGAGGAGGTGGTGTCGTTGTTGATGCTAATAATAATACAAGCGAAGGAGAAAAGCGTGACACTAATACTACTAATACTAACAATAAGCGCACTTCATGGATGCCATTTATGAATGCCACACGCTCTTAATAAGATAAAGGCAGCATATCCCCCTTACTATAACTATACACATACCTTTTTTATTATACGTGTTGATGAATAAAAGTAGCTGTTTTAAACTTGGCAAACTTTTATTTTTAGAGTGATAAAGCATTCTATGGTTCAACTCTCTTAACAGCTGGGTTGAATATTATCCATGATCTAACTTGAAGAATAATGCTGGCTACCTTGATTATGCTTTTACACAGGAGTAATTCTTTGTATGCCAAGAGCCAACAATCTTAACAACTTTAAGTTTATTGGCTAACGTAGTTTATTCACTGTTAACAAGTGTATCCTTTATGTTATGAATGATGGACACATCAATACATAAATGTTTTGTCATTTTGATTAAAGCACAGTCTTCTGGATAGCTGCCATATCCATATTGGGGAAAAGGCAGATGTCGGCCAGTTATTGAACTCTGTACTGTTTTTTGAATATGAGTTTGTGTTGAGATTTGCGCCAGGAGATTAGAAAAAATATATATAAATACCGAAAGATTGCAAGTGATTCATTACTTTTTTCTTTATTTAATTCAAATATTATAACAAACATGCAAAACTAGTGAATTTATTACTAACAGAGAAATTATTTCAGATAATGGTATGGATACTTCATCTGATGATTATATGGAAGTAGACGAGGAAGAGAAAATTGAAATTGACCATTTTAATTTGAGTAAACAAATATCAAATCAGTTCATAAAGCATTTATATCGTAATTTATAAAGTGCAAATAGTTACAGTGTTAATAGTTGCATTGAGATGATCTCGTAATAACGAGGGAAGTGGGTACTTCTCAACTTCATGATTGTCCATATGTTTGTTATATAAGTTTTGATCTAGATAGGGTCTAGGAGAAATTCCCTTCCCTGATCGAATGATATTATTTGCCTCAGAGCTAATATAAAGAAAAAGTATTTTCATTAGTTTATATACGTTAAATCTATACTCTAAAATTTACCTATATGGATGGAATACAGCATGGTGTTCTTTAATAAACTTTAGCCATTGAATCCCGACACCAGGTTCCTAAAATAAAAAAATTATTAGACTCCTGTTAACAGTATTTTTTATGCAAACAACTTACGTACCCTTCAAGGCTAATTTTTCTTTAATTTGATTCTTCTGAATCATCTCCGAATCCTTGATTTCCTTCACAGCGTCTCTTGTGACCCTTTTAATAAAAACAGTTGTTAAACGTTGATCAGTGCCATTAAATTGTTAAATAAACCTGGCTATTGCTTACACCATTAGATGTCGTATTATTCATAACACAGGTGTTAAAGATTCCACCTTTAATTGGACTATTAAATGTCATTCCATTATTAAAAATCTTTCTTTTTTTTTGTGGCTCCCTTCGCCAAGTTAGCCTTCAATTGAGCGTTTGTTGGCTAACAACAGCAAAAAAAAAAAAAAAAAAATAGTTCAATGTTTTATTCAAACAATATCAAATATCTCACGTTTGCTTGCTTTGACAAATTACTAACATACTCTTTAATGGCATCTGGAATTTCTTGCAAATTAGAAATCCAGTGAAGATCTTGAGAGCTGAATTGGGGCCCCAAGATTTGAAGTATTGAATAGCAGGAGTAACATCGTAGGAATAATGTTTTGGCGAGAGAATGGTGTTCGAGCGTAGTGCTTTGATGAAATCTTGATAGAGCCTGGAATTACGGATATCGGACTGGGCGTCGGTGGGGAACATGGCAATAATGGCGGTGGCGTATGTTAGCAAAGTGGAAGACTTCAAGTGTTTCGTAGTACGCTGGTCAGCCAAGTAATTAATCAATTGTGTGGACGAAGGGTCGAGACAATCATACTCCCGGGTATCACACCATAATCGATATGCTTGTTGTCGGAAGGCATACTGGCGTTTGGGCCGATTACTCCAAGGCGTAGAACAGACCCACTCCTCCCTTACCGACTCCACTCCATTTGCGAGAGAAACTTGCCCTATTACGTTAGACGATGTACAAGCAGCACTTAGGCAATTACCATCTAACAAGGCTCCAGGTCCTGATCATTTACGTCAAGAAATGCTCGCTCCTTTACAGGTCAATCTTGCAGATATCCTGCTATTTTTGTTCCAGTTATGCTGGACCTGGTCCTATACACCCGCAGACTGGCGAATAGCGCAAACTGTACCGATATATAAAAAAGGCGACCTAGCAGAGCCAGGTAACTATCTGAGGTATTGGTTGTTGCTGTTGTTAGTACTCGGTAATGGTAGAATAAAAGCAAAGGAGTGATGAGTCTCTGGTTTATCCTTTTATTAGAAGTAAGAGGAAGGCTCATAGCAAAAAGAAATTAGGTTGTTTTAAAAGAGGTCGGAGTACTAATTAAGGTAATCTCACACGTAAAGATTAGTATTAGACATGGTCAAATACGACACTATCGACCAATTAGTCTAACGTTCGTCTTCAGAAAAATATTAGAGTACTGTATCTACAACTTTTTGGTAGCTAATAGCCCTCCCCTGGACATAGCTCAAGGTGGCTTCCGTGAGCCCAGGGGGTCCTTAGATCAAGCTCTCTGCCTAGCTGAAATATGCAACATCTTCCACCGCTTTCATCATATAACTTCAGTACTGACCTTCTTAGACATAAAATCGGTATATTACACTGTGGATCGTCGTTATATATGGAAAAACCTAGAGCAAACAGCACGTGCTGCACTGATTAGCTTGCTTCAAAACCTATTTGATGATGTGCAGATAGAGGTCCTACTTAACAATGCAACATCTACTCGTTTCTCGTCAGTCACTGGTGTCCTCCAGGAATCAATTCTCTCTCCGTTTTTGTATTCTATATACATTAACGAGTTACCTCGCCTTCTGCGCCCGCAACCACTGGCTACGGATATTTCTCCTACCGAACTTGTCCTTCGCATGAACTGTCTCCTCTATGCTGACGATGTTGTTCTCATAGCTGCTAAGGCCGACATGCCAACCCTCCTCAAGTCTTATGAGGACCATAGTTACAAGCTTGGGTACCCATGGAAGCCAAGTAAATGCATCATACTAGATCCAACACAGTCGCCCTCAAGTTATACTCTCTATGGCGAGCCAATCCCAAAGCAGTCTTCCTTTCCCTATCTCGGAATTCCTTTTCGCTCGTGTGGCTATCTCGACGCCATTGAATTAATTTCTAACAACAAGACTAAAGCCCTTACAACTGTGAAACAATTCTCAGTCATTGGCCTTCATCCCAAAGGTTTTACCCCTCTCTTAGCTACTCGTTTCTATTCCCAAATCGTTCGTACCCAATTAGAATACGGACTAGCCATTACCAAGGCTACTTCCTTCCTTAGCAAATAAATAAATTACGCTCAGAACACCTGCATAAGTCGAATCTTCGGGGGCTCGCGCAGTTCCTCCACAACAGTGATGTTACACCTGTCAAATCTACCAACCGTGCAGGAACGCGCTTACTTCCTTCAATCCCAATTCCTTCTACGCACCTATACCCTCCCGGATGATTCATTACTTTCTCATCATCTTCCATTGATCCGCCAACCTAGAAGTCACTCCCAATGGTATAAACTCTCTAGGTCCCCCATTTGGAGAATATGCTCACCAAACCCAGAATCCCTTGATCGCCGCTCTTTACGCTTGATGCAAAGGAAGTTCCGCCAAGATAACCTCAATCACAAGCGCTCTACGTATACCTCTGTTCTTCTTATACACTGTCGCCCGACTATCTCCTTAGACCCCATCTTTTGGCTACCAATGACCAGGTCTGAGAGAAGTCGCTGTATACGTTGGCGCCTTGATTGGCTTCCCAGTGGTCACGGCAAAGCCTGTCCTCAGCATCCCAACCAATCCTTCACCAAAGCCCACGCCATCCGCTGTCTCTAGATGCACCGCCGACTTATGATACCCGAAACAATTTCTGATTCATTATCCTTCCTTTTGAATATGTTACGTTCAAAGAAACCACGCTCCTTTCAAGCCGCTCTCCCATGGACCATTTGTTGGCCAGCTATCTGCACTCTTCTCCATGAACTTGGCTACCTCCATCATCAGAAGTGTCCGCCTTCTCCACCCCTACACCTTGGGCAAAAGCTCCTCGATTGGCTCCCTCGTTGTCCTCACTAGTGTATCTTACACTTGGTTCAACATCATTTCTTCCATAACTTTTTTACCCTTGATCCCATAAGGATTTTTTAGTTACCAATTCTTTATTCTCTTTTGACCTGTATCGGGCGAAGAAGATATATTATTATTATCGTGCGCCCACTTGAGGCTTTAATTGTAAACAAAACTGTTTAACCGTATAAGATACAAACACCATTCAGTCTATATATTTATTGAGATTTCTAAAGCTTTCCTTCTTCCTTTGCAATGACTTTTTCTACAGCTTCTTCTACATTTTCACAAACCATCTTTGCTGGATAATCAGGAGAGTTATCTTTTCCAGTAAATACACCAGTTCTAACAAGGATACTTGTCCAGCCATAGTCATTGGCCCCTTTGATATCAGCTGCTGGATTATCACCAACTGCATATACGTTTCTTCCTTGCTCACCGGCAATGGTATTAAAGATTTGTTCGGCAAATTTGTAGGTTGCAGCATGAGGCTTTCCAAAAGAGGTTGATTTCAATTCATGACCTGTCAATGTGCTGTATAGCCCTTCGAGCGCATGCTTAAACGCACCTTGACCTAGACGAGGCGCAGGGAAATCGGTGCTCCAGATCTAAAATGGTGTTTAATCTCTTTTCTTCTATGTGTATGAAAGACTTACAAGGTCATTCTATTATAATATGATTAGTGCCCTTGGTAAAACTTGATTTGGGTCGTATAACTTACGTTTGACCAGTAAAGTGGGACATCTTGTACAGAATAGTCTTCTTTTCTTGTTCCAAGTACGCCACCCTTTGAGCAAAGTGCGTCGAGCATTATTTGCAAATCTCTGCCCCCTATCATTTGAATCAATATAGAGTATGATATATGTGTATACTCATTGATTCTTACATTCAAATGAGTCATGAAATACCATAACTGCATGAATAGGATGCTGTGAAAACTCAATGGGGTGACTCTAGAAGTAAGAAAATTCATTTAAAATCAAAAAAAAAGAGGAGCATACGTAAAGGATGACTTACACTTGTTAAAACAGACAAGTCAGAGACTGTTTCAGTATGTGGCCATACAGAGTTATTCCAGTGCATGACATCATGAGGAATAACCACGTCTTGAAATCCGTACCTAAGGAAAACATGATTATAAACCTATGTTCTTATACGTGAACGCCTTGTGTTTACTTTGTAGCAACGTTATAACAGTTTCTACCTGTTCCACCAACGACAAGTACTCTCTTGTTACGATATTTCTCTGCAAGATTTTGCATAGGTGAATGAGATAATATGACGCATTTGGGATCAACCTATTTTACACACACATATGCGCGTTTGATGACGGAAAAATTCAGGAGATAAACAAACAAATACCTTTACTCCAACTATTTCACTTATTTGCTTTGCTTTTTCTTCTTCAGTCATACCGCCACCATTAGTTAGTAAGACAAAAGGAATTTTTCTAAAGATAATTTAGATAGTTTGTTCCTTTTTTTCTTTACTTTTGTTACCTGTTTGCTGAATTGTCTCCATTTAGTTGCTTTAATGCTCTAATGTAGAGTCAATAATCATATTTCTTTTCTTTGTGCTCTACCTTGTTGCTTCTGGAATACGACGTTTTCCCTATGCAAATGAAGAAGAAGAAGGGTTGTTATGAGAGACAGAAAGAGAGAAAGGGAGAGGGAGGTTTACTTTAATCAATACACCATCAATGTCAAAGGCGAACGCATAGTTTCCTTTATTTGCTGTTGATATGAAACGAGCGGTTGTATTAATGGCCTTTGCAAGAAAGTTTCTTTTCAACATGGCTGTCATGGTAGACAATGCAACTTCTAGCAAAAAAAGAGCTGTGAAAGTGCAATGCGGCGTTTTAAAGAGATGTGTTCACAAAAACACTCGGTTACTGTAAACAGGCTATGATGAAGCAAATAGCAACGGATTTTAAGCCAGTGCAACTGGACATGAATTATTCAGAGTTGCAGCATGTGTTCACATTAAATCAAGGTGATTCTTGATACAATCACAACCAATAATCCAGTGATTTATACTTAAAAAGGTTGTGATTAAATAAGCATTCTCGCATTTATCCCTTCCTTTAGTAAATCGTATTCATTACTATGTTTATTACAATCAGCCTACTCTTAATCTACTTATGCTCGAGTTTTTTTTTTCTTGAGCTTCAAAAAAGGAGTAAGTTTAATTTTAAATGAAAATTTATGTGGCTTAACATCTGATATTGCATAACTTTTTTTTTTCTTCTTTTATCTTTATCCTTTTCCTTATGGTGACTGAAGTAGCTTTATCTGCATCCAACACTGACAGCACTATTCATGTGTGGGATATTCGCTCTGGGTCGAGCCTTTTCTCGTTCAAGCAAAGCCAATCAGTCAAAGGTGGCCTTACACTTGTTCCTAAACCAGGCAACACCTTTCAAGTGGGATCTGTCGTCAGTGCTCAAACCGATCGAGCGATCCTCAACGTGTATCAGTTTCATAAAGACCAAATTATGCACAAAATGATTACAAGTGAAAAGATGATTAGTGTGGCTGCCTCTCATCAAGGCCAGTACTTGGCAGCTGCCACTGCTACAGGCAAGGTGTATTTGTGGCATATACCCACTGGTCATTTGATGCGTATGTTTGAAGCTCACTATCGACCTGTTCATCGCTTGGTATTCAGTCATGATGATGCTACACTATTAACAGCCAGTGAAGATGCCTCAGTCAATGTCTGGCTGTTGACTCACTTGATAGAAGAAGATAGACCAGCGCCCTTATATTCTTGGTCAGACCATACATTGCCAGTGACTGACCTCTATGTCGGACATGGACAACTATCAGGCGCTCGAGTATGTACGGCAAGTTTAGATCATACGGTCAAGGTAATGAAATAAAAGAAAGAGAGAAAGTAAGAAAGAAATAAAAAGTAATAAGTTGTTTATATAGCTTTGGGATATGGCAACAGGTCACCTTTTGACAACTTTCTTATTTCCTAAACCAGTATCAAGCGTGGTTTTACACCCTTCAGAAACGATGATATTTGCAGCATGTGAAGACAAAATTTACTCTGTAGACCTGTACAGACGTCGACAAGATCAAACTTATGAAAGTGTAGGAGGTATGGGTCGAGTAGAGTCTGTGGGCATCAAAGATCATTATCAGGATAAACCCAACCTGGGTACTGTGTTCAGTGGACACAAGGGCACGGTCAACTCTCTCAGCTTATCATTTGATGGAACTCTATTGATCTCTGGAGCAGAAGATGGTGAATGTATTGTCTGGGATGTCATCAGTCGACAAAGTTTACGCACATTTGGACTGCACAAAGGGCCCGTCACACACGTCTCTTGCTTTTTGAGACCTATAGAATTACAACCCAATGCACCACAGAATATCGTACCCATGCCATGGGCTCCCTTGAAGCGTATGATGGTTACATCTGAAGAAGAGCGTCGTAGCGCCTCACTGCAAATGATTCAAAATACATCTACTGATTTACTGAATCAATACCAATCTATAGAAGAAGGCACTTTCTACCTAGAGTCTGAAAGATCCAAGGCCAAGCAGGCATCGGCCAATATGAAACAGTTGAAACCAAGTGACGCGAATGAATCTCTTCAGAGTCAAGTAGAGACACTTCGATCCGAACTATTAAAGGTTAATGCACACTACCAAAAGTCAAAATCTTTGCAGAAGCAAATGTACGATACAATTGTAGATAAATTCATGAATGAACGAAAAGAAAATAAGAAGCGAAAATTACAAGACGATGAAGAAGAAGAAGATGATGATGATGAGGAAAATGAAGAACAAACTGTATAAAACAGCCCTATTTCTTGCTTTTTATTATTATTATTACATGTTTTACTCTTTTGTAACTATTCGTCCTCCTAAAACAAACCAATAAAAACAAAAAGGAACTCTCTATTTCAAAAGAGAGAAAGAAGAGAGGGTGAGGGCAAAGTTTAATAAATAACTCTCTTTTTCTTTTTCTTTTTTTTTCTTTTTACAACTTTAGCTCTGCTAAAATCCTACTACACATCGTCTTATATTGCCATAAATCGCCACCTACTCTTCTGAACTGTAAGCCGTGCATACCAAGAAGCCACGGTACTTTGACAATGTAGATTTCGAATCGTACAACAAGATCTGGAACAGGCACAGCCTGATCTTCTTCTGCTACCTTTTTCAGGTCGATGCTCGGCATATGTACGCACTCAAATCGTCCTTTACTCTCCCGCCAGCGGACACTAATACGTTCTAGGACACGGATGAGATCTGCACGTATGACTGAAGGATGCTTTGTGGACGTTGTCGAGACAGAAAAGAGGCCCTTGAGAAAGACTGGTTTGATGTCTTCATCCGCTGTACCTTGTGATGAACTAGGCATAGGAGACTTTTCCTGAATCTGTTGTTGGGCCAGCTTGGGAAGTTCATTGATGGGCGATTGGCCAATTGTCATACGACGAGGTATTGGGGTTTTCGCGCCGGCTATTCGAGGCTTTGCAGGCTTGGGTGAAAGCATGTTGGGATAAGGTGCATATGACTGTGAGAGGTATGGAGTTGGATGATTGTTGCTATTAGATGGAATGTGTATAGGAGTCAGCGGTGTTGTTAATGTGGAATCAGGCACTTGTGCTGGTGGTGCAGAAGCTGATGGTGATGTTATCGGCACAGGGGCGGCAGCAACAGCAGTAGTGGCCGAAGCCTTTCTCGGTCGACTTTCATTTCTTGACAGTGCAACACTAAGCCTGCGAAAGACATTCTCGTTTGTTGATTGCTCGTTATTATTGCCGTTATGGTTATGATGGGTATGAGGTCTATTATTTGCGCTGATGGATGCCGTGGGGTGAACTGTGGAGCTTCCTTCATCGGAATGCTGTCGGTTGTTGTTATTATTACTTCGGGATGACTTTGAAAATAAACGGGTAAGACCCGCATTGATGATGTTGTGCTGCTTGTTGTCTTCGTCTGTATCCAAATCGAAATCAAGATGAGGCGACTTCTTTTCTGAACTGTAGTGATTATGATGTTGAATATATTCCGTAAGTGGTTTGTGAATTCTTTCAGGGGATGTAGGGCTTTGTTCTTCAGCCTGTCTTTCAGCTTCAAGTCTTTCACGTTCCATACGTTCCTTGACTAAATAATAGATTGAGATCAAAGGATCATAAGCGGCTGGAATAGATTGTGGATCTTCATTAGGTAGCGAGAAAGATTTAACTGGGTGCCAATAGGAATAAAGCTGACTCTGTCGATGATTACGCTGAACTTCCATAGAACGTTCGAATGCAGTCTGAGAAGCTATTTGATACTCTTCGGATGTCACAATAGCCTCGAGTTTTTCTTTGATCTGCTCTTCCGTACCAAATTCAAATCCTGTCATCTGTCGAACAACGTCCATGTTGATAGGTAAAGAGAGCGGTAATCGATCAGGCAAATGATTCTTTACTGGACAGTCATAACCTTTGTTCATCCAAGGGTGAACCATGAGTTCTGAGACTGTTGCACGATGAGCTGGATTGACGACGAGCATACGGGACAAGATAGCACGACACTCTAAATAATGTATATATATATTTTCAGCACGGACAAGAAAAATATTAATTTTTTAAATGACCTGTGCTAAGATGATATGGAAACTCGAAAACACCCCGCTTGATTTTCTTATGTAAAGCAGCTGTATTGCCATCATCAAATGGCACCTTACCACAGAGTAAGACATAGAGGACAACACCAAAACTCCAGACGTCAACCTCTGGGCCAGTATAAGCCTTTGCATTCAATAATTCAGGTGCAGCAAAATAAAGTGATCCACAAAATGTACTCAGGTTTGATTTGGTGGAGAATAGATTGGATAATCCAAAGTCGATGATTTTGATATTGCCCTCTTGAGACACCAAAATGTTTTCAATCTTCAAGTCTATATCACTTTTTTAATTTTGACCAGAAACAGCACTCTTTATGTCATCATCTTACCTCGGTGAACAATGGAATTTCGGTGACAGTAATCGAGAGCGCTGAGTATCTGTCTGGCAAATCGTCTTGCTTGCTTTTCCTTCAATCTACCGTGAGAAATAATGTAATCCAACAATTGACCACCAGCGACATATTCCATAAACAGATAATAGAAATCATCCATGTCAACCATTTCCTTCAAACTGACGATATAAGGGTGATGTAAAAGTAATAGAATATTTGCTTCTCTTATCGCTCTGGCTTCTCTATTTTCATCCTTCATCTTGTCTCTTTGAAGTATTACTTTGGGAATAATCTTGACAGCAAGCTATATTAAATGTATTATATATGTATATTCAACATATAAGTACATATATATAGATACCTTTTCTTTGGTTGTATTGTGAATGGCTAATCGCACTTTACCCATGGATCCTGCTCCAATAGTACTAGACAAGGTGTAATTGCCAATCACTCTTCTCGGCTTTGGTTGTCTGTTGATACCACCATTACTACTACTACTACTTGGTTCTCTCAGTTCTCTTGACTGATTTCGTATGTTTGTTGTTGTTAAAGGATGGTCAGAGTCAGGATAAGGTGGAGGTAGCTCTGAAGGTGTAGGTGAGTCAATCAAGATCTTGTTGCCGTCTGGTCCATTGACTAACTTGTCTTTCATGTGGTATATATTTTCTTCCCAAGAACGGTCTACTAAATCATTGGAAGACTCTGAATCACATTCATTAGCAGAATCAGAAAAAGACATTGAAGAAACAAAGAAAGAAGAAAAAAGAGTACAAGAAATAACAACAAAAAAAAAAAAGTGAAAAAAAAAAGAGAGAGAGAGAAAAGAATAAAGTTGGCTTAAAATAAATTTCCCTCGGTAAAGAAACCTCTTTCTCTTTTTTTTTTTTGTGGGGGGAACAAATCAACGTTGATTATCATGCAAAAAAATAAACACTGAATCTGAATCAGGATACACCGCGGAGACATAATTATTTATTTACAACACTATAATACATATCACAAGTTTCCTGGTTCTTCTACAATTACTTCATTTCGCTTGGTTTCATCAAGAGCAGCTTCTAATTGAATAAGCTGACGAAGACGTTTAAGTTGCATCCATGCTGGTAAATAAAGATGTTCTGTCACTTTACGCGGACTGGGTATTTCAAATTGTGCAGACGTATCCAAAGGAACTAGATCTAGTAGTAATACATTATTACCTCCAGACACTACACGATTGGCAACTTCTTTAAGTATTTCGGGTTTGATAGGGGTTTCATAGTCAAGAAGATGGTACTGGGAAATAAGCTTTTGAATTTGGGTTGGAGATAGAACCCAGCAAACGTCATATATATTTTCAATATCTTCCAGACTGGCCTTTTTTAATTGAAGTAGCTTGGTAGCTTGAGTGAGATGTTCTAGTTGAAGTACTCCTTCAGGTATGTTATGCTTCTTGCACCATTCTTCAATACGAGAGATATTGTATTGAATTTGCATGGCTAAATAAAGCATTAACATCATTCATTTTCTATTCTATTCTCTTTTACCTCGCTTCCAAGATGAAAAGTTTTTTCGCATCAACAAATCATTAAAAGACATGGTTCCAGTCATTTTCAAAACTTCTGTTAGAACCTGACGAATGGCCGATGGTTCAATAGAGTAACATGTCATCGTTTTGTGCACCTTGTGTAAGAATGCCAGCAAGTCATCCATGTTGTATGCAGGTTCACTGTGGGTCATAAAGAGTCTATTTAGGAATCTACCAGAGTCATTTGTGATAAATCCTGGTAGCGATTGGCTCTCGATGACAGCAGGAATGACCATCTTGCTGTACCGCTTTTTGATTTCTTTGACAAGAATTTGATAGATATTGTCTTCGAGACACTGCAACTCGTGTTTGATGTCTTGAGTCAGCTTTTCAAGTTCTCTCCAGCTGATAGAGTGGCCTCTTTCGTGCAATTCCTTTTGGAACTGTTGCTCTGTTTGAATAATAGTGGACAAAAGCTCATGTGTATTTGTTAACCAAAAAGAGCATGGTACAAAAGCATCTTCCCCACTAAATGTCTACAAGAAGCAAAGTAAATTCCAAGTCCAGCGATCTAACTTACTTACCAAACATTGCTTCTGAATAGCATCAATGGCAGCAAAGACCAAGTTTTCTGATTCACGATGGTACCCAATTCTCCACATACCTTTCACACATAGACCAATGATATGCGCAGGAAATACAATTTCTTTGAGTGAGGGAGGATTTTTTGTACTAGGTAAGGGGATCTTTAATGATTTGACGAGTCCACTCAAGATCTCTTCCTGGAGCGGTTCTTCTTGGCGAAGGATAGAGTTAATCTATGTCACAGAAAAAAAAAGTTGGTATTTCTCTATCATTGTGAGTATACCTTTTCTCTTACCTCTTCCTCAGGATCACTTGAAATGGCATTCAATCGACCCGCTTGACCGTTTATACCATACAGGCCAAGTGAGGTAGGTCTAGGCGTCTTACCGTTGCTCAACTCTTCCGCCAATCGAATTCGATCGATGGAAGACTTGGCACCTACAGCACCCACCTCAATAGAGCTATTTCTGCGTGTTTTCCTGTTGGTCAGCAGAGTTGTCTGCTTCAGAGGTTCCTCTGTGCTAAACGATGGCTGTCTTCCACGCATAGGCGATGGTGATAAAGTTCGATTGCCATTTCTTGCAGGAGATAAAGAATCTTGCTTTCTTGTGCTGTGCATGGCTCTTGCTAACTGAGCCTTTAAAGCGGTGATCTGTTGCTTTAGCTCGGCTACTTCGCTCGCATTCTCGTCCTTTGTAGGCTTTGCTTCATCCTTTTGTTGTTGCAGCTTCATCTTTTCCTTTTCGAGTTGCTCCTTGAGCACGCTTGTTTCTTTTGTCAGTTTTTGTGCTTTTTCAAGAGTAGACGTATATTCTGATTTGATCTTGTCATGCTCTTCCTGAAGTAGCTCGTAACTTGCCTTTAGTTTTTTCAGGCTGTGTTCAACCTCTGTAGATGACCTCTCCATCTTTTCATATCTTTCAGTGGCGTGTTGTAACTGAGCTTCTAAATGCACTGTCTTTTGATCTGACGCTGTCTTCTCGGCCTTTAAGGTAGCAATTATTTGATTTAATTCGACTACCTTATTTTCAAGCTTATACGATACTTCCTTAAAGTGATTTGCAGACTTGGCTTCTAATCGTAAAGTAACAAGCTGCTTTTGAGCAGTTCGGCGACGAATACAGGATTGTAAGAGTACGATGTGTGCAATCTGAGACTTGTACCATTTACGAACAAGCCTATATAAAAAACATAGGTTGAGATTTGAAACAAATAAGGCTATATAATATCTTACATTCCTCTAACATGGCGTTGGATCTGTATAGCAGCATGATGCTCTTGCAAATTCTTGTGTACTTTGCGCGTTTGACGGCTACGAATGGCTTATGAAGATTGTTTGAGTCATACAAAAGCAATAAATTTATATACAAAAATACCTGTCTGGAGTCTGATGATAAAGTCTTTTTTAGATATAAATGTCTTGTGAGCAATATATCGTCTAAAGTTCGTTTGGATAATGATGGCTGCCTTGTTTTGTCGAAGTTCTTGTAATTTATGTGTAGCCAGTTTTTGACGAGCAAGGCATTGAAGCTGAATAATTAATGCCTGGAGACGTACATAACGTCGACGATAGACAAAGCGTCTCATGTTTTTTTGAAGAACAATGGCACAAGCATCATATCTGTCTGATCTTAACTTTTCCATATAGGCAAGCTGACCGGCACGGAAGAAGATTTTGGTTTCACCAATTTGATATTTATCTGTGTCCTTGATGCAGCTATCTAGAACAAGTTGACAGAGAGATCCAATATCATTTGTCTCCCACTGTTTTGATGGAACAAGAGCATAATAACGTTCAGCAAATTCCTCAAAAGTCCAACGAGATGGATATCCCAGACAACTAATACGAATCGTTTCGAGAACACCACAAGCACGTAATTGGGATAAAACCATAGGCCCGTCGAATTCCCACGCGACTTTCGCCTCGTTAGGCTTAATACAACGAATGTAATGCACGTTCGTATTTCCTATAGTATCCATCAAATTGATAAGTGAATTCTATAAAGAGAGGAAGATCAGTCATGGGACATTCTTTGATAGTGTATACCTTAAATATAGAACCTAAAGTGGGCTTTCTAGAGATCATGCTCTTTCTCTTATTGTCCTAGTGAATATAAGCGTTATGTGACGCAAACATTTGCATAAAGTTATATATAAACTTACTGCAGAGGCCATTGCTTGAGCAGCAGACAAAGATTTTGAAAGAATTTCTTCCAAGAAATTGAATTCTGAATTTCGAAGCATTTCCAAATGTTCATCGGGTAGTGAGTCTTTGTTCTTTTCTAAAAAGTTCTCGGCTTCATATTGCACTTCGTGAGCATAGTGTTCAACGGTAAATGCTTGGTTTGAAAAGCGTGGCTTCTTAAAGTAATTCTTGTACTCTGGTGTTGCAAAATGGTCATACAATTTTTGGCAGAAAGCTTGATCTGTACCTGCAGGCAGTCGAGACTCCTACAGCTGTGTGTCAGTACCAAGATTATCATTGTGCACCTATAACTTACTTCGTCTAAAAGAGATAAAATACCCAATCTTCCCTCGATCATTTCTATACACTTCTGATTATCGCTAAACTCGATAAATGTCCAGTTAATTTTTTCTCTCATATACTCTTCTTGTTCCAGCTTAAAGACATGTTGATTAAACTGCTGCTGTAATTTCTCATTGGCGTAGTTGATGCAAAATTGTTCAAAAGAGTTTTGCTTAAAGTGCTCAAAGCCATAGATATCAAGTACGCCGATAAAATTCTTGACAGTACTTTGTTCATCAGTACATGACAAGCTTTCGTTGATGACACCTACAAGCCAATCAAACAGATTGGAATAGATATATTTAGCGACGGAATCCCTCACAACATTTGCCTGAACTGGTGTTAGGTTTGTCACAATCTTTTCTGAACGGGTGATGATTTGCTTTTTAACAATCCATTTTCTAAACTCGTCAGCGTTGATTCCCAAAAGTCGAGTGGAGGTTGCCAAAGCAGGGTCTGTGTCTGAAAGAAGAGCATCATTACGTCCTGTTATGTTGATATTACCGATATGAAGTAAAGCTGCTAGTAATCTAAATATCTTCCATTGTAAATCGACAGAGAGGCCCACTGTAGAAAGGGCTTTTTGAGTCAGATCAAACTCTTGTTTATCGTCCACACCAGGAATTTCGCCAGTTCCACTTTGATTTAGATAATGAAAATATGTATAATCATTTAATTCAAACTCTTTTCTCTCTTGGGAAGGAACGCCTGCACAGAGCTTTTTTTTTTTTACGAGTTGTTAGATGTTTAACTAGGCTCTTTGAATATATATCCTTACCTGATAAAAGATGTGATAGTTTCTTTCAGTCTCAGGTTGAAATATAAGCCTTGATCTTTCCAATAAATACGTCCTAATCTTTGCCCCCACAATGTTTGCGCAACCATCAAACTGAATTTCAATATATTTACCAAATCTAGAGGAATTATCATTTCGAGTTGTCTTTGCATTACCAAAGGCTTCCATAATAGGATTTGTAGCTATTATATACGCGATTAATAGTGTATATAAACCATTTTCTTTTTATTATTACCCAATATCTGTTCTTCTACTTCTGTTAAGGATCCACTATCCTTCTTGACCTTTCCCGTTGATTCTTGATCATCAGCTGTTGCAAAATATCTCATGATATACTTGGCACTGACTGTTTTACCAGCACCACTTTCACCCGAGACAACAATAGTCTGATTTCTTTGTTCTCGTATCATACATCGATAGGCTTCTTCTGCAATAGCAAACAGATGAGGTTCAAGCTCACCCCTTCGTTTACCAGAGTATTGTTGCACAATATCTGATTCGTAAAGCGGAACACGATCAAATGGGTTTACAGCGATCAGCACGATGCCAGAGTAGGTGTAAATCAAGTGCTGCATGTATCTCGTTCTGATTGTATTTAGAACTAAAATATCTAAGTATTGTGTTTGAAATACGTAGTATTCTATCTATTTACCAGAGGGTTCATTTAGGTAGCTCAAATTCGTTAGATCATCTGTGTATTCCATCTTAGGTGGATTTCGAAGAGGTGGCAAGTTGGAGCCATTTGATTTTTTGATAGCAGTTAGTGTAGATTCAAACACATGCTCCTATATTAAATCAGTTTATCATGTTTAGATTTTAAACAAGACCAAGTTTACTTTTTCAGCTGAGTCGTCTATAAACTTCAACGTTATTTTGTCACCCTCCACTGTATTAGACACGCAAGTAGCAGAAACCCAGCCTTCTTCTTTATCCGGAAACCAAGCCTTTATGCCCTTGGTATAAACCTCGATAAAGTCTTGCTTTTCGGACATTTTATCAAAATTTATCAGAATAAAAAAAATAAAAAAAGACAAACAAAAGAAAGTAGCTTTTCATAAAGGGCGGACATTTAAATTAAAGGCCGAACTTTCCAAAATGAGCATCGTTTGTTTTGTGTAAGCTGAAAAAGAATAGTTTGTCATATGGCGTTCCGCTTTTTTTTTTTCTGTTATTTTTCTGTTATTTTATTCCATGTCAAGCAGTGATAATTTTATAACTTGTCAAAACACACCGAAGCCTTTATCAAAAAGAGATGATTATGCAACTGTACATAAAAGACAGGCGGCTGCGAACGCATTACAAAATTACTCGATACTTGCTTTACAATCCATCAAAGATGAACAGTGTCCAGCAAGAAGTAGATTAAAGATGATGAGTATCATCACTGATTTATCGTCTGACAATGATGCATACAAGTATTCTACAATTAAAAGATCATAATATGTATATATATACATTGAAAGATGCGTCACATTATAAGAAGAAGAGATGTAATTCTAAAGAAGCAAGTTCTTGATTGGTCATACAATAAAAAAATGTCATATGGTGCTCCATGTCACATACGGAGTATGTTGTGTAAGACACGGATGAGCTTTTTTTTTATACAGAAATACTCCTATGTGTTCCCAAATCATCCCTTGGCAGTTTCTCCGGAAATAATTTAACTTTTTGCAAAAAGTTTATTATCATAAACGTTTGTAATGTGTCTAAAATGAAGATAAAGGGTTGTTAGTTTTTGCAAGATGATATGTCGTTACCATACCAACACATATACACATATATGTATGTATATATATATATATATATGAATGAGCATTATTTATTAAAAAGAGGTGAATATTCACTTTTGACATCTAAAGTTTATACCATATTTGGTGGTAGTGTACCCTGAAAGAAATGTGAAGCAAAAAAAGGGACATTATAAGAGTATCAATAGGATATCCAACTCTTGTCTAAAATCACTCAGAAACGAAGAAGTTCTATCCAACAACTACCCTTTTTCTTTATTCTATTTCCTGTCTCTTTTTTTTTATTGAATTAAATACATGACTAATGAGTCAGAAAAAACCTAGACTTGAATCACAAGATCAAGACGATCACTTTCAATGCCCTATTTGTTATGAAGACTGGAAGAGAAAAGGAGAACATAGACTGGTTAGCTTAGCATGTGGACATTTATTTGGAAACAGGTAAAATGTGTTGTTGATCTCTCTTTTAGATCTACTCATTCTTTTGATAGTTGCATACGTCGCTGGGCTGCTGATAGTCGAAATGATAGTTGTCCTATTTGCCAGTAAGTTGAATTATTATATGGGAGGGACCATGGCTCATGATATTTTAATAGAAAGATTATCAAGACAAGTAAAATAAGAAATGTGTTGCCTATAAAACTTGTTGTTCAAGACACGTCTCAAATTGATGAACTGTCCAAAGAACTGAATTCACTCAAGTCCCAAATTAAAGAAAAACAAAACGCATTAGAACTATCCAAACTAGCATTAAGCCTTTGTCAACGTGAACTAGAAAAGGCTAAAAAAGCTCATATACCCTCACAATAAACCGCTTTTTCATAATGTCGGTCATGTCCCATCTCCGCATCCACTTTCCTTCTTTTTTTAATGCCTGATTTCGACAAATCTTTACCATCTATACCCAACACAAATACATTGACTGAACTCGATAAATTATTAACGCCTCCAGCTATACAAGTACTAACTGTTTACAGTATTGACGCCCGTGTGATACTGATTACCTTGTTGTAGAATGAAACTGACAATAACAACTCTAGTGAAGATGAAATCGATTCCATCTTTGATAACTTTGATGGTAAAATATAGTTGCTATTTTATTATATACGCTCACATATACGCAAAAAGATGAACTACTTGATATAACATTGGAAAAAGATATGGACTTGCGTGAATATGCAAACAAAATTATAGAGGAAAAAGTAACTGCACAAGAGGAACTGGAAAGAAGCTGTAAGTCATACCACTGCATGAACCCCCTCCTTTTTTCCCCCTTGTTAATTCTTTCTCTCTCTCTTCCATTGCTTAGACTTAGAAAACGTTCAGTCTTTTATTGATCTTCATACAGAAATACAAGTAAATAGATGACCTCTCTCTTTTTTTAGCATTAACACGTATTTATGAAATAGTACTGTGATGAAGTCCTCGGTCGCATGGAAGGACTGCTAAACGCTTTCCAGAGTGATTTGGGTAATATTAGCAGTGAAATACAAAACTTACAGGAGCAGTCTACGCTTATGAACGTTAAATTAAAAAACCGAAAGGTACATTTGATAAAGATCATCCTATATTCATTCTTACGTTCATCAGACATTGGAAGCACGACTGGGCAAGGCTCTACAGGGTATGGTTATACCACCTTATATGATAAGGTAGTGAAAGACTCTCTCACCTCCTTTTATAAACCGAATTCATACTTTTTTTTTTTCCTTCTAGAAAAATTACTGAAGAAGAAGTGGATGAGACTTGGCTGGAATATCTTACTACAATCAATAAACAAATGCGATTCATCAAAGCCAATCAACATCGCCCGATAAAAGCCTTGCAAAACGTAGGTCCAGAGTTGGAGAAACTACGATTGAAGGCTGCATCCACTATTCGTGATTTCTTTCTCTCTCGTATTCAGCTCCTTTGTGTTCCCAATGCCAACATACAAATCATGCAACAGTCTGTGTTTTTAAAATATAAAAATTTACATAGCTTTGTTATGGAAAGACATCACGATGCTGCAACAGAGATACGACAAACATATATAAATGCACTACGTTGGTATTTTCATAATCACTTTGAAAGATATAGTAAGGGCCTGATAAAACTCCAGGTAATATTCTAAAAATGTATGCCAGCTTTATAATAACATGATATCCTCCCCCTAGACTGTGTCTGCAGAGAAATCAGACCTAATAGGAATAGAAGAAAGTGCTCGTAAAGGAGGCATATTTGGCGGCGCCAAGGTAGCTTTGAATAAAACCAACGTATTTGCATTAGGAGACCGAAGTGATACCCTGAGAATTCAAGATCCTGGCGTAATTCTGATTCATGTTGCAGAAGCTAAAGAACAGGTAATAACCAAGTAAAAGGGTTCATTCTTTTTTTATTCATAAAAAAGACTAGAAATATCAATTTGAACAACTCTTTCGAAGCTTCAACTTGACCTTAATCGATAATGCAAGCTCAGAATATTTATTTATCCATGAATTCTTCTCAAGAGATCCCAAGTCTGCAGCAGATACCACAAAAACCATATTCCAGTCCATATTTGAGTCCACAGAAAAAGTGGGAATTGTAAGTGACGATAAAAAGAAATAGATAGTCAATGTAACCCTGTATATATTTGCATATAGCAATTTACAAAGACCTATGTAGAAAATTGCTATGATGCAGTTGGCATATTATTATGTATTCGAATCAATACACAGCTAGCATTAGAACTGCAAAGACGACGTGTACCTGCTCTTGAAGGATACACTAATGCAACCAACATGTTGCTATGGCCTCGGTTTCAGCATATCATATCATTACATATAGACAGCTTAAAAAAGATGTTTCATAGCAAATCACTTGTGAAAGACATTCATCCTCATTACGTAAGTTTTATAAAAAGATAAAGAGCCAAGATTTTAGCTTATTAACCAAAATCTTAAAGATTACTAGACGTTATGCTGAATTTGCAGCTTCGTTGCTAGTGCTTAATGATGGATACGATGATGCCATTTTATCTAACAGTATTCATAGACTACGCGATGAATTTGAAGCTGTCCTTTCACGTATGTCAAACGAACTAACCGACTCGCCTAAGCGTATCGCTTTTCTTGTTAATAATTATGATCTTATCCTATCTGTACTTCAAGTAAGCTCATATGAATGGATTACGTTTTTATAGTAATATCTTTTTTAGGAAACCCATAGCCATGCAGTAGAGAACGAGGTCAATTACTTCAAGCAACTTCACTCGCTCCAGAAAAATGCCTTTGTTGATGAGCAATTAAAGCCTTATTTTGGTCCAATGATTCAATGTGTTCAAAAGCCAGAAAACTGTTCCATCCCTGACCTTGAACGTATCTCTTCACACTTTGCTCAGACTTGGCGTCAATCTCTTAAATCGATCAATGCGTCCGTTATTCAGTACTTTTCCAACTTTAAAAATGGCACAAGCGTACTTCATGCAGTTCTCGCTCAATTGATAGTCTATTATACAAAATTCCTTGACATTTTAGAAAAGAGAAATATCTTGGCCAGACTTCATCCAGTTGGAGTACAAACAGTGATGGTAGAGATTAAAAAGTTTAGAAGTACATTTTAATACAAATAGCACGTCTTTCTCGCTCTTCTTTTTGAAATAATAAATCATTAATATATTTAAGGTATATATATGTATGTATAAATGTATAAAAAGAGGATAAAAACAGTGGTTTAATCACTTATTCGCTCACCCATGAACCTCCCCGTTTTAGCCATTTGGCAAGTAGAACGGTCATATCTCGAACCACAAATCCACCTATGATTGTATTAATCACATCACAGACTTTACTCAATTTCACAAGCATCATTTCACATCGTGGATCATTTGTTCTTTTCTTTTCTTCATGATAATAATTTAACCATTTTTCTATTATTATAATTATTATTATTTAATATTATTGTTATCATCACCTGCTTACCTAACGTATGAATCTTCTTCAAAAGCCTCTCTAGGGCTTCAATATACTGTTTATAATGGTCCTCTCTATATATACAATTATTTCATGTACTCCTTATCGCTTTGTTCCTATAGTTACCCTTTTGTTAAACTAAAGGCATTCATACGTTCCACTGATTTTGTCAGCTTTGTCCCCCACGACATGAATGACTGACTTGACTTTTTGGCGGTTTCAACCTTTGTGGTACCATTTGTATGACCTGCACTACTTGTCTGATTACCTCCATTTGTACTTTCTCTCTTGAACTTTTTTGATAGATTGGTCTTTAAACTCTCTACTGATGTCTCCACGTGCTCCAATAGCCTTAATGAACTTAGTAAATCATCTAAATAAGCCCAATTTTCAAGTCGATGAATATCATTCGCCAGTGTTTCACAGGCGGATATTTTGATATCTACAAATGATAGCTTAACGTTGTGCTGCTGCCTACGATTTCCAATTAATAATGCTTTTTTTTAGCTTAAATGATATGATGTTTTTTACCATAGGCTTTTGGGTATATATAATTTCTTTGTTACATAAGCGCCTTGCTGCATACTCTTTTCCAGTGCCAAAAGTAGCTTGAGTTGTTGATGCTCCTTAACCTCCTCTGTGTCCTGCGTTTGGTCTTTTAAGAAATGCCCAAATGACGGACTTCCGGTGCTGTGTGTATAACCTGCCGATTTTCGCCCGACGAGGCCTTCGACGGACAATCGATTGACAGTCTTTTTTCGCATAGATCCTATGGCGGAGGTGCGCACTTTAGTTGGCTGCTGCTCTTCATCCAATGATTCGACAGTAGACATTGAGGAAGACCTCGGCACTTTAGGTAAACTGCTTGTTCGAGTACGATAAGGCCTGATATAGGCTATTGCTGTAGGCGTCGCAGGTGATGATGGTGATAGTTCTTCTTCCTTCTTTTTCAAGGAAGGAAGTGTCATTGCAGGCATTTGCTTAGCCTCTATATCTGAATCCAGGTCATAATCTTCATTGTCAGCATTAGACTGCTGCTGCTGTTGTTGTTGTTGTGTTGTAGGAGTACTCTTTGAGGAATGCAGACTGAATGATGATGATGATGTAGTCATGTTGCGATTAAACTCTGTAGAAATTATTTTGCGTACAGTAGCCTTCTGTAGTGTTGGCTTTGTCTCCCAGTCGTCGTCGTCGTCGTCACTGTCTTCACTGTCTTCATCATCGCCTTTCTCTATAGGTTGTATCTCTTTTTCTTTTCCCTCTTCAATGACAATAGCTGTTAAAAGTCGAATACGCTCAGAATAAGAATCATGCTTTTTAATGAAATAGGGAAAATAGTGAGATATACAAGAGAGAGAGAACAGAGCTTAAATTTTTTTCTCTTACTATTTCCTGTAAACGTTTCTTATCATTTTCTTTTTCGATCAAGTTCAACACCTTTTCGAGCAGTTCGATAGCTTCCGTATAAGCATGAACAGCTCCCAAGACATCGTTGGTCGAATCACACTGAACAGCTACATTTGCTTTTTGTAAAGCTGATCGAAGTATTCGTTTGGAGAAATGCTTTGTTTCCTGTTGTGTGAATGGATGACTTGCTGGTAAAAGGCTTGATTCTACGCTCATTAAGAAAAAGAAAAAGAAAAAAAAAAGAGAGAGAGAGAGGATAGAAAATTCCTTGTTCTATTGTATCCCCTTTTTCATTCCCCTCTGTCGCTCTTTCCACTCTTTTCTTGCCCACACACACTCTCCTTTCTCATAAATGTTACACAAATATCTATTATTGATCAGCCTTTCTTTTGTCTCGGTTCTATTATTCGGTTAACATCAATACCGTAAAGATGTGTGGCTGTAGATTTCGGTTGATTTATAATACATCGGCGTATAAAGAGAATATAAGAACATGTTCCTTGTTTGTATTTCTTTATCCTTTTCTTTTTCAGTGACAAAAACAAAAATGCAACGAAAAAATCAAGATGAAACCCATTCAATGCTGGTATCATTGGATTCTACTTCATCTTCATCAGCAAGTGCCTCATCAGCGGTATCAGAATCAGTGACAGATGGTAAGTATCTTTTTTTTTTTTAGTCGTTTGACGTTTCATTGTTATCCTGATGCAAAAGTTAGACAAAGAACACTGGCAGGAACGTTGGCCAGGGCATCTTGTTCGAGCTACTTTGCCTACTCTTCCACCTGTACATTCCCATTTGCAATATAGTCCTTATCCGCTTAGAATGCATAGGCCTCGATTGACAGCAACATTGTGGGAGGATGAGAGCACGCTATGTTACCAGGTCGACACTCGAGGGATTTGTGTAGCTCGTCGTCAAGGTAATATTAAAGGACATGTGTCACATGTCATGCTTATGTCGTTATTTAGACAACAACATGATTAATGGTACCAAATTATTGAATGTGGCTGGTATGTCTCGTGGTAAACGAGATGGCATATTAAAGAACGAAAGAGGGAGAGTAGTTGTCAAGGTAGGAGCAATGCATTTAAAAGGTGTCTGGTGAGTATAGAGTTTCTATAGACATCACGCCATGTTTATTCATAATTTACAGGATCCCTTTTGCTCGAGCAAAGACACTGGCTACTCAATTCAACATCCTGGATGCTCTTTATCCTATCTTTGCAGATGATCCAGTCTCTTTTCTTTACCCTTCTCATTTTTATCAATTACATAATGGCCCGGCTATAAACCCATATCAACGTGGTCAAACCGAGAGTTCTGCCGAAGGTAAAAAAGATTTTTTTGCATCATTCACTCTTATTTGACATTGAATTAGTCAATAACTCAATTTCCCCTGTTAAACAATATCCTGGTGAGTTTTGGTGATTGCTTTATATGTGTCTGTTTATGTTTGTTTGTGTAAAGGACGATGTGATAAATTAGCTGTAAAGATAAATCATTGTATTGACATGTCTTTTGACAATAAAAATAAGCATTATTACAATCATTGTTAACAGAGCCGAGAGTGACGTTTGACATATAGGCTGGCTAGACATATGGAGTCATTGATTTAATTCCCCTCCTCCCCCCTTTGTCTCAATTCCTTTTTAAAGAGTAGATGCACTCTTATTTAAGGCACACTCATTATGTGAAATGGAGTTAATTCACCCTATTTTGTTTGAGAAAAAGGGCAGATCAATAATAAAAAGTTAGAAATTAAGATATATACTCCTTTTTTTCTTTTGTAACATTGTGTTCAAGGTTCATTATAAACAACTGACTCGATCATTATTGACGTGCAATTTACCCTTTCATCATTTCTGTTCCTGAAAAAATATTCTTTTGTTGGTTTCCCATAACAACCAATGAGAACACTGGATTGCTCCGTTACTACACTGTCATATCATGACAGACATCTTCTAATACAGCAGCTATATTATATTGAATGTCGGTGTTTATCATGTCTCAAGTCATTACTGTATGATTTAAACGTATCACACGCAAAATCTGATACTAAAGGGGTAGAATTAATAAATGAAACAGATAGCTAGGGACACGTTAATCTTTTCTGTTTCTATTATTAATACTGAAGCCATTGGTCCATATGAAGTACCTTTTAGATATTTTGAGTAAATCAGCCATATGTGAAATTAACGCCTTTTTTTTTGAAAACAATATCACAGCCTGAGCCTAGCTTAAGTTGGCTGAACGGTTATATATGTTGAAGTTGATCAATTCAGTAAAACCTTGAACAGATTATATACCTGAGAAACACTAGTAACATGCTCCATTTTGAGTTACTTAGGAATAAGAAGAAGAATACATCCCATCAACCACATGGTCACTTTTATTTTACACTTGTCACTGAGCATACGTAATAATACAATTACGCGAATTGTGTTATTAGTACTCAGATGTTTAATATGGCTGATTTATATTAATCGAACTATTATGGAACGCCATTTAAGTCATCTATTGATACAGATGACAGTCTAGAAAAGTCTTTATGATTTGTGCGTGTTTTTCTTTGTTTATCACCAAAATAGCCAATCCTCATCTTCACAGCAGTTCCGTCCCCTGATAAAATGGTTCTTCTGTGTTTGTTCTTTGTTATTACCATGACTATACCACAATCATAAACAATTTAAGTTGCTGCAACAACCCAAAGTCTCTGTTATACGCTCCTTAATAAGACTCCTTTCTAGTTTCATATAGAAAAATGATGACTGAATCATTATTTCTTGGTGACAAGGTAATTGCGTATGCTTGATATGTTAAAAAAAAAAAAAAAAACTCCTGAGGAAACCAAGAAATCGAGTGGTTTCTTCTACGTTAGTGTATTCTTTAATATTTTCCTTGCTAAGAAATATATGTTTGGCAAGCAACAGTTATACAGTATAGTAAACGCTTACTCTTTTTAAGCTTTTATTTGGATAATTCAATTATAGTATGAACATAACGGGTCACCATCATATCCATTGCAAGTTTGAAGACAATAGTTCTTACATTCGAAACTGAGATTCACCACGTTTCATTCCCAGTTCTGGTTCCTTTGATTGTCATAAAGAGAAAAAAAAAAAAAAAAAGAATGACACTTTTAATTGCTTGTAAATCAACCCAAAAAAGATAAGCAGTAAAGGAAGATCCTAAATCATAGTCGTACAAGCTTTCTTGTTTTTATTGCTTCCAATTTCAGATATTTGCGTTTTATCATTTGAAAATATTTTCTCTTTTCTTTCTTCTTTTTTTCTTTCTTACTTCATATAATCCCACTATCGTCCCTTCAGTACTGAATGGCAGAAGTACCGCCTGTAGTGCCTCAACCAGAAGTATCCGCTGCACCACATTCAGCAGCTCCTTCCGCTGCTCCAATGGCTCCGGCAGTCAACGATGTTCCTCCTCCTCAAACAGGTATACTTACTCAGTCTCATTCGGCAGCACCCATTCCAGCCCAACCAGCTGCTCCAATCAGTGCTACTGTTGCTCCTACTGTAATCTCGGGACCATCTCGAGCCTCCCAGGCAGCTGTAGTACCACACTCGTCAATGTATAGAAACAATGTTGGTATAATGGAAGGCCTATTTAACAAACTAAAGGTCGCAGCAGGCTTAGGAGATCCCTTTACTACTTATTATCCTGGAAATGCTTTTGTTCAGCCATTCATGCCGCAAGCTAATATGCAGATACCATTAATAGCGGATGACAGCATAATGAAACCACAGGCTATCGCACCAGCCCTACCAATACCCATGAATCCTGCCCTTGGCATGACTCCTGTCAATCATTATCAACAACAGCAACAATTGCAACAAGCACAGCAGTTATTAATGCTGTTAATGATGAATCAACAACAACAGCATCCTTATGTATATCAACAGCAACTACAGCTGCAACAGCAACAAATGCTTGTAAACTATTTTATCCAACAACAACAACAACAACAAGCAGCTATGATGGCAGCTGCACAGAGATCAGATATGATGTATCCAGCGACAGTAATGAACACATACCCTCAGTATCATATGCCTTATTACCCACAATATCAGCATCGAACGTATCCATATGAAGATTATACAAGAAGTTATTATAATCCATCTTATTACGACACAAGGCATAGAGCCAGTAGCTTTTACCCACAAAGAACACGCAACTTTAGCTCAGTTAAAGATTTACGTCCATATTAATATTAAAAAAAGTGTTCTTTATCTCATAAAACCAGAAGAAAAAAAAAGACAAGGGGAGGCTCAGTTTCCCTATTTCGTCATGTGTCCTTTTTTTTTCAATTACAGTGCTTCTACCTTCAGTTTTTCAGTGTAATTTCATATTTAATGTGTGTATGTCATATTTACTTAATCCTATCTTATGAGATTACAATAAACATATATTCTATGAATGAATAATATGTTGCTATCATATAACGCGCCATGCTCAATTCTCATTGGTCATAAATAATCCTGTTTGCATAAAATGGCGCTGTTTGTAATAAGGAGCTCTTTCCTTTTGTCACAAATGGAACAACTATGTAAGTAATAATACAAAGATTGTAAACCTTGAAGAAAACATAAATATAATCAGCAATAATGAACTCAACAGTCTGCTGACCGATATGGCAGGCTTTCTTTTCAAGAGCATCAAAAGATGGAATGATAAGTAGGTTATGGCCAAATTGAAGATAGTGTATGATATTGATATGTCCTTTTATTATGTGGAATAGAGGCTCGAGACTTTTATATTTTTTAACCTTTATCCCCAAAAGAGGTTTTTTTAGTCTCCATTATTGTTCTTTTGATATCCTCCGGGCGGTCTTTTATTGCACTCAACAGGATGTATAATTAAATAAAATCTAAAAATTTAGTGCATTGAGAGTGGAAGTACTGTATTGCCCCTTTTTGTCTACAAGTACCAGGGGTTACGGCTGATCCCTTGTTCCTTCCTTTTAAATAAGCATTTCACCCATAAATCGCGCTCTTTTCAAACAAGATCATTTTTGATTGTCTGCACTATATTACATGAGATCGTTTACATCATAGAAAAATGAAAAAGGAAACAAACCATCACCATCTAACCCTAGGCAGAAACTACCTATACGGCTACAGTAGGTTCTTATAGCAGTGTTTTTTACACCTATGCATAATACGTTTCAGCCAAAACATGTTTTACCCTCGAGCCTAGAAATACTTCTTTTCGCGATGAACTGGCCTGGACAAAAACGATGTAATAAAAACATCACGTGCCTTTTATAGCCTTTGTGTTTTAAACGTAGTGTCCCTTTTTTCTTTTTTTTCCTTTTCTTCTTTTATCTTCTATAAAAAAAAATGAGTATGGACTCGCAGCTAATTAAGACTGGTAAATAACAATAAACTGACAACATTTAAATATAAACATTAAACAGATTGTACTACTAGTGAATAAATTACAGGATGCCTTTTCAACTGTAGGAGTTCACAATCCAGTTGACCTACCGCAGATTGCTGTCATTGGCTCTCAATCAAGTGGTAAAAGTTCAGTATTAGAAAACATTGTTGGTCGTGATTTTCTTCCTCGTGGTACGGGTATTGTCACTCGACGACCTTTGGTAAGTTCAATTATTAACCAACAGCACACAGTAAACTCATCTATTATAGATTCTTCAATTAATCAACAGACCACCCAAAGATAATGAGGACCCAAGTCAGCAAGAATGGGGGGAGTTTCTTCACTTGCCAGGACAAAAGTTTTATGATTTTGATAAAATTCGCCAAGAAATTATCAAGGATACAGAACTGAAGACTGGAAAAAATCTAGGCATCTCCCCTCAGCCGATCAACTTGCGTATCTTCTCACCCAACGTACTCACCTTGACCTTGGTCGATTTACCAGGCTTAACCAAGGTGCCTGTGGGTGATCAACCAAAGGATATTGAAAAGCAAATTCGTGAGATGCTGCTCAAGTATATCACTAAACCCAATTCTATTATCTTGGCTGTTACTGCCGCAAACACAGACCTGGCCAACTCAGACGGTCTCAAACTAGCGCGCGATGTAGATCCAGAAGGGCTGAAAACCATTGGTGTATTGACCAAAGTGGACTTGATGGATGAAGGAACAGATGTGATTGACATATTGGCAGGGCGGGTCATTCCTCTGCGGTTAGGCTATGTACCTGTCGTCAACCGTGGACAACGAGACATCGAGAGCAAAAAGTCTATTCAGCGTGCGTTAGAGGCAGAACGTGAGTTTTTCGAAAACCATCCAGCATATAAATCCAGAGCTCAATACTGCGGCACACCATTTTTAGCACAAAAGCTTAACAGAATCCTGATGCTTCACATAAAGAACACGTTACCAGAGATCAAGGGCAAGATTCAGTCTGCACTTGTCAAGTATCAACAAGAGTTGTGGTCACTGGGTGATCCACTCGATGATCAGCCTTCCAATCGAGCCAACATGGTGTTGAATATCATCACAGAGTTCTGTACCGAGTTTCGCACAATCATTGATGGTACCTCGGGTGACCTGTCGAGCTTTGAACTCTCAGGTGGTGCACGCATCAGTTTTGTATTCCATGAACTCTATGCAAGTGGTGTCAAGGGTATAGATCCTCTGGACCAAATCAAGGATGTAGACATTCGTACTATTCTCTACAATTCTTCTGGATCTTCACCAGCTCTCTTTGTGGCTACAACTGCTTTTGAGTTGATCATCAAGAAACAGATCAAACGACTGGAGGAGCCGAGCGTGAAATGTATCAATATGGTCTATGATGAATTAGTGAGAATCCTTGGTCAGTTATTAACCAAGCAATTCTTTAAACGATTCCCTGCTCTTAAAGAAAAGTTTTATCAAGTTGTTTTGGCCTTTTTCAAAAAGGCGCTTCAACCTACATCAAAACTGGTGACTGATCTTGTAGCGTAAGTGTGTATGTGTGAATAAGATTAAGATCATTAATCATACTGTATATATAGTATGGAAGCATGTTATATTAATACAGCTCATCCACACTTTTTAAATGGGCATCAAGCAATTGCACTTGTTAATGAGCGAATGAGCAAGGAAACCAAACCTAAAGCAGCGCCTGCTACTGCATTACCTGCTTCAACGATACCAGATTCTGATAACAGTGGCTCACTCTTTGGAAGCTTTTTCTCAGGTAACAAGAAGGCCGCAAATGCCAAGAAATCAGCATCACCTCTATTAGATGCAGTAAGTAATAGTTAATATCTGTCAAATGACTTCTCTAACCCCCCCCCCCTATATGTAGCCTCCTGCAACTTTAAAAGCAAGCGGCAATTTATCAGAACGAGAATACATGGAGATAGAAGTTATTAGTAAAGTATATTGGGAAAAAAACAGTTTTACATTTATTTATCTCATTCTGTTAGAGTTATTGATTCAGTCTTATTATGATATCGTTAAGCGTACAATGATCGATATGGTTCCTAAAGCGATCATGTTAAACCTTGTTAATCATGCAAAGGAAGAACTTCAACGAGAGTTATTGACAGAACTCTACAAGGTAGAAGTATTGGATGAATTACTGCAAGAGTCAGACTTTACAAGGCAAAGAAGAAATGAATGTAAAAAGATGATTGAAGCTTTACAGAAAGCAGACGAAATTGTTGGTTCCGTTTAAGTTGAATAAACTTCTGTTTTGGGTATTTTTCAAATTTTTTTTTGTCTGTTTTCTTTCTTTCTTTCTAGTGTTGCAATGTTTAAACCCTTTTGTACAAGACGACCATTGTTATCCTATCAACGGCTCTTTTCGACCAGTTTACAATGTAAAAAAGTTTTTCTCATGTCAAAATAGCTCTCTTGTCTCATTAAGCATCTTTAGGTAAAAAGGCCGAAAGACAAGTATGAAGGAATTAAGATAATATAAAGTGTATATATAAACTTATATTTCTTTTAAAGGCCATTTTAGTAAAGACACCAAAAGGAACACGAGACTATGACGACAAAGAGATGGTCATACGACAAGATCTTTTCAAATCCATCACAAAGGTCTTTCAACGACATGGTGCTGTGACGATCGATACACCCGTTTTTGAATTAACCGAGATCCTCTCTGGAAAATATGGAGAAGAGAGCAAACTGATTTACAATCTAGCTGATCAAGGTGGAGAACAATGTTCGTTGAGATATGATCTGACTGTACCTTTTGCCAGGCACCTGGCCATGCAAGGCGGAAAAGAAGCTCAGATGAAACGATACCAGATCGCCAAAGTGTATAGACGCGATCAACCCATCATGACCAAGGGCCGACTACGTGAGTTTGTTCAATGTGATTTCGATATTGCTGGTCAGTATGATCCCATGATCCCGGATGCAGAGGTTCTAAAGATTGTGAGCGACGCTTTGGATACGGTCAAGGTGCCATTTTATATCAAGCTGAATCACCGACAGCTTCTGGACGGTCTTTTTCAGGTCTGCGGAGTGCCACAGGATCAGGTACGCTCCATTTCAGCAGCGATTGACAAGTTGGACAAGATGCCATGGGAAGACGTGAAGAAGGAGATGGTGAAAGAAAGAGGGCTGAGTGAACAGATTGCTGATCGTATAGGAAAGTACGTGCTGCAGCAAGACAGTAACATTCTCGATATATTGGAAAAAGATGAGGTGTTGATGCAGAATGAGGATGCTCGCAAAGGCATTGCTGATATCAAACTATTGCTTGATTATCTGGATATATTTCAAGTCAAGGATCGTATCCGGATTGACCTTAGTCTAGCCAGAGGTCTGGACTACTACACCGGCATCATCTATGAAGCGATACAGACAGAAGTAGAAGGCTTGGGCTCTATTGCTGCGGGTGGTCGTTATGATAACTTGGTTGGTATGTTTGCTGGAACTAATAAGCGTGGGCAGCCCAAGACAATACCATGCGTTGGTGCTTCTATTGGTGTCGAACGCTTGTTTTCGTTGCTTATGGCGCGTCAGGATATAGACAAAGTCAAGAGTAATGCTACTCAGGTCTATGTGATCTCTGTTGGTGATGGACTACTCAGGGAACGTATGCAGCTTGTACGCGAATTATGGGATGCAGGTATCAAGGCGAGTTTTATGTTTAAGAATAAGCCCAAGCTGGAAAAGCAGTGGAATGTATGTGAAAAAGAACAGATACCCTTTGCTATCATCATTGGTAAAGATGAGTTGGATAATGGACAAGTGAGAATCAAAGATATGAGAACAAAATCAAATCAAGGTGGAGGCATCACAGTGGCAAGAAAGGAAATGATTGATGTATTAAAAGATAAATTGAATTAGAAGAAAAGAGAAAAAAAAAAAAAGAGATATGAATGAATGTTGAGTGTTATAATGTGTGTAATGAGTATATATACATGCTTTCTTTCTTTCTTTCTTTCTTTCTATGTTTGCTTTTGGTTGAGTTTTGGACCATCGTCTTCTATTATTATATTATAAAGTGCTCTATATTGGTTTTCTGCTTCTTCACATTGAGAATCAAACAGTTTCTAGAAAAAAGCAATGTTAATGTATGATAATAAGATGTATAAACATACTTCTAGTTGAGATGCATATTCTGTTCTTTCATGAAACAACTCTCCGTTGCTGACCTGAACAACCTTTGGATCCTTTGAAAGATCTATTTCGTCTCTTTTCACTTTATCTAAATGGTCAATGCAATCCAGGATATCCTGAGTAAAGTACGCTAGATAGTCTCGTCCGGTGATTACTTCGATAGGTGGAGTAAAAGACTGACAAGGTAGTTTCTCTTTTTGTACAGTACTGGCTACATTTTTTCGTATTATTTCAAGTTGTTTATAATGATAGCTCCTTAGACGTGCTATACAGCGGTGCTTTAGCAATGACCTTTTCTTGTGAATTAAGGATAATGTATTTGGGCCTGGACTAACAGTAGGTGTATCAGGTGGTAGATAGACATCGTCTTCTCTATAAGAAAGTTAGATTTACTCATTCTTGTTTTCACACCTTTTGTTCTTGTATACCTGCCCGCAGGCTCTTCCTCCAGCCAAAACTTGAGCTGATCAATGTTTGACATGTGTGAAGCGAGGGTATATATATTGAATATAAATATAAAGAGAGAAAAACGAAAGGGAAGGGTGGGGCAGTCTGTTGCTGCTTTTTTTTTTATTTTAATTTTATTACAAAAATTTTGTATGGCTACTTAATTAGGAAAAAAAGCAGAGATTTGGTGCATAAGTGAATGACGCGTTTAATGGACCCTTACTTTTCTCTGTTTATACAATATTTATCTTGGAAAACGATAGTGAGAACTGTAAACATCTCTCGATTTTATACAAGCATAGCTCGCTCGATTAATGAGCATTCAATTCTTAAATATATGACGGTAGATATAAAATATTAACTGACCGATGACTCTGGTTTTTATTTTTGGAAACATGACACAATAATCTTTCTTCTGGGTGTAATGACTTTGCTTTATAGAAATAAAGGAGGTCATAGCTTTACATTTCGTAAATTTATGAGTCATAATTCAAGAAATAGATTAAATGGAGCACTTATGCACGTTCTCTCTTTTCTCTTTTTCTATCAAGGATCAACGTCTATTTTCTAAATAAAGGATAAAAGTCTGGAATTTGCAAACAGCAACAAGAATATTCTAAGCATAATAGTAATAAGGCTCCCACAAGTCCAGGATAAGGAATCCGTCAGTACTCAGGGACGCAGTAGTACGAAAGGAAGAGCAAATAACAGGATTTTACGCTAAAATTGGATGAATAAAAAAAAAATAAGTTAAGCAACTCGTAATTAAAACTAGATAATCATACACGAAAATTGAGGCAAATGTCAACAATGAAACTAGACGCTTACAAATGATTTGTGAATGATTAAATAGACTCTCAGTAATTTACCTGCACTGAGGGTGCCTTCAGCGATAATGGAGACGGATTCAAGTCCGACTTGTTTTCTTTTGTTACTTTGGTATTGCAGTCCCTTTCTTTTTCGTTTATTATCTTTCTTGGTGTATCTCGTGAATCTCTCAGGTCGATCGTCTGTCTCTCTGAGTGATGTTAATATCGAACGAAAATTTAATACAGCGGCAAGATCCCTGTTCCAAAGCCTACTAGATTGTCGGGTCTTCAAACATTTTTGTCTAAATTATAAGAGAAAAGCGGTAATGTAGTCAAACTGTTTATTGATTTTGATTAGTATGACGATATATCTTCCAGTTAAATTCATGCAATTGTCAGCTTACATAATATAAGGCATAAGAGTAAAGCTCTCATCAAGAAGAGCCCTTTTAATATGCTTTTGATATCTCATCAGCAGTCTTTCAATCAGAATGAGGAAAGGTAAATAAGTTGACCCATATTCTCCATCAAATCTCTGTAATTGTCTCTTTTTGAAAAGGTCCACAAAGGATGTTTATTTAGTTTCACTTATAAATTTGTAATGACCTTTACTGAAAATGGAGTTTGTCCAATAGAATCCTTCAGTGATCTTTTAGCTTTGTGATTGCCTCTTTAGATTAAAAAATTCATATCTTAGTGGACATTGATATCCAGTTCTTGCTGTGACTGTCACCTGCACCAACCGAAAAAACTCAGGGCGGGGGATCCTTGATTTAAAAAATTTTAGTGCCCTTCCGATTTTTCTCTCTCTTTTCTTTAATACCTCCCTCCACTTATCTAAAAAAGCGGCAGAAACGATGTTCCCTTCTCAACAAGCCTTAAAGAACAACTTCATTGTTCCTTCTCCTGCTAAGGATGCTGCCCCTACCGGTGCTAACCTCTATGCTCGTTTTGCCATTGCCGGTGCTCTTTGCTGTGGTATCACTCACGGTGCTATGTAAGTTTATGATGATTAATTGTGTCAATAGAAACTAATATTCTCTTTTTATTTAGGGTAAAGAAATAAAATAAAAAAATTTAAACAAGAGTATGCATACTTACTATTATCATAGACCCCCGTTGATGTCGTTAAGACCAGAATTCAATTATCTCCTGAAGTTTACAACAAGGTGAGAGAAAAGATAAAGAGAGTGAAAAAGAGGGAATGCTTAAAATATACATATATAGGGTATGATTGCCGGTTTCCGTCAAGTTGTTCAAGCCGAAGGTGCTGGTGCCTTGTTGACCGGTTTCGGTCCTACTGCTGCTGGTTACTTCTTGCAAGGTGCCTTCAAGTTCGGTGGTTACGAATTCTGGAAGAAGACTTTCATTGATCTCATTGGTGTTGAGAAGGCTTCTGAAAACCGTACTGCCATCTATCTCGGTTCTTCTGCTATTGCCGAATTCTTTGCTGATGTTGCTCTCTGTCCTTTGGAAGCCACTCGTATTCGTCTCGTCTCTCAACCTTCTTTCGCCACTGGTCTCCTCTCCGGTTTCACCAGAATCTTGAAGGAAGAAGGTGCCATCAAGGGTTTCTACTCTGGTTTCGGTCCTATCTTGTTCAAGCAAGTTCCTTATACCATGGCCAAGTTCGTCGTCTATGAACGTACTACGTAAGTACCCCCCTCCGAGTGAGTCAATAGTGCTTAAACTGATCGTGATATGTGTGTAGTGAACTCATCTTGAAGAACATTGATACTCCCAAGGATCAACTTTCTCCCTCTGTCATGACCACTGTCAACCTTGGTTCCGGTATCGTTGCTGGTACTGTTGCTGCCATCGTCTCTCAACCCGCTGATACTTTGTTGTCCAAGATCAACAAGCAAAAGGGTGTTGAAGGTGAATCCCTTACCTCTCGTCTTATTGGCATGGCCAAGCAACTCGGTCCTAAGGGTCTCTTCTTGGGTCTCGGTCCCCGTATTGTCATGGTTGCCACTCTTACTGCTGGTCAATTGTAAGTTAAATATATATATCTAGGATAAGAGTGACTAAATAGTATATATAGCGCTATCTATGGTGATATCAAGCGTGTCTTGGGTGCTACTAACGGTGTTGAAATTGCCAAGACCAACTAAGTTGCTTAACCTTTACTCGTCTTTTCTTATTTATACACATCAACAACATCAACCGCCACAGCTACAACAATTTAAAAAACATTCTGTAATATTGTGTTTTTGTTTTAAAAGTAAAATAAACATTAGACAATTTGTTAATATTACAAAGGACCAGAATTATTAGGTGGATCAGTCACGAGCATTCGTTTGATCATAGTTCCCCATGACTCTGTTTGTGATTGTATGGCAATTTGATAAGGAAATGGATTTCCTTCTGTTGTCGTAATTGAGGGAATGTGTTCCTTGTGTTCATTGACAATTTTGAGAATAGTCAATAGACATTGTGATAGCTGATTCTCCATCCATCGTGTCGCTTTGGGTTTATCTAAATATGCAGTTTAGAAATAGCCAATTTGCCTCTTTTTTTCTCTTCTTGCCTTGTTCCAAGGGTGAAGGCGACAAGTGAAGTGTGATATTCCATTGTTCCCAACATACAAACTCTTCACCCTTTGTGAAGTGAAACCAATTCTTTTTTAGTCTCTTTTCATAAAACAAGACAGCAAGCTAGAATACTGAGTTAGACCTTGTTATTTTATATGCTTTTTTTTTTCTTGTTTTTACTTTTCCCTGTTTAATCTGGGATGAATTTGTGTTTTGTAAGAATTCTGCAATCTTTTGTTCAATTAATGTCTCTATTTCTTGACTGTCTGTAATAGACTTTTTTTGTTGTATAAAGTTGATTATTTATACACTGTATATATTTTTAAGTATAGTTACCACAGTAGTGTTAAGTACTCGAAGTTCCCTAGGCGCGACATTAACAAGCAATCTATGAAAAAAGATGGAATGCAGTAATCCTTTTGAGGGGGAACATTAATCCTTCTTTCTTTATATCTTTATATCAGTAATACCTCGTAACATGTCCTTGACATATTCCCTAGGCACGTTTGTCTGCATCGTTTCTCATTAGCAAAACAAGGAATAATGAAAACAATATTCACCATTTCTAAATTAAACTCTTGAGTAGTAGTGCTTGCCATCTTTATTAGACAAAACAAAAAGAAAAAAGAGATGGATGTCGTCATTGAGGTTCAAATCCAAGCACAGTCAGGGTATTACCCACCATGATCAAACTACCTGTCGTAAGGACTTGGATAGGTTTTGTCACTTGCTTTGATCGATCAATAGATAATTCAATCGCTTCCTCAATTGTATGAACTATATGAACCTTATCTTTTGGGAATGTAGGGTTTTGCTCTATCCAACTCTTGGCTAGTGCTTGCTGTACAGAGGTTATCTCTTCTGTAGAAACGGTGTAATTAGTATTATCTGTACTGTAACCTTGTTTAAATGTGATGTTTGTTGTAAATATAACATCATCAAAATGTACAGAGGGCTGAATATCAGATATCACTCGAAGTAGTTTGTGGCTATCACGGCCATGTGTACAATTAAATACCAAGATCCGATGGCCTTCCTTTTGTTGGATTGTCTGTTGAAACCATGAAGCACAGACACCCAAGCTCTCTACTGTATGCGCCCCATCAAGATACCAAGTAACATTTGTATCATTCGAAGCGTATTTTGTATTGCCAATATGCAATTGCTGACCTCGACCTGGCCATGTGACATTTTTTAATCCTTTCTTAAAGCCTTCAGGAACGGTTTCATCAAGTACTATTCCTCGAACGGATTTTAACCATGTTTTACAGAGTTCAATTGCTGTTAATGCGTTATATTTTTGATGTTCGCCTGCGAGACCTAATAATAAAGAAGAGTTTGTAAGTTAAATATAGAAAGCATAAGAGTCACTTGCCTATTTCAATACCATTCAGACAAGAAATTTGATCTGCGTGCAAGACCGTCAACGGTGCCTTCTTCTCTTCTGCTCTTTGTTTTATCACTTCCATAGCTTCAGGTAATTGTTCAAAAGCAAACACGGGCACTTGTGGCTATAGAAAAATAAATAAATATAAAAAACTCTTATACTGACTGTATATATCTTTACCTTTATGATACCAGCTTTATGCCATGCGATCTGGTCAATTGTATTTCCCAGTACTGATACGTGATCTAACCCTAGGGCAGTTATACCACAGACAACTGGCTTCTCAATAATATTTGTCGAATCATATTCCCCACCAACGCCTACTTCTAATATAGCACAATCCACCTACAGGTTTTTTTTTTTTTTTCAGTCAAGAACAAGTGTCAAATTCGTAAAAACCAACCTTTTCTTGCATAAACGTATGAAAGGCGACTAGTGTCAAATATCTAAAGTAAACAGGCTTATCAGGGTGCTGTCTTGTATTCTTGATCATCTCTCTTTTATCAGCTTCTGGTAGATCCATGGCTCTGATAGCCTCTTCTTTTGTTGCCTCCAATCGATCCCATACGTCATGGAAATACTTGGCAAACAGTTCTTCGCTGATCGGTTTTCCATTAATCCTTATACGTTCTCTAACAGCAACCAAGTGAGGTGAGGTGAACAGACCGGTCTTGATAGATGGATCATAATTATGTAATACAGATTGAACTAGTGCACAGGTAGATCCTTTGCCTTTTGTTCCAGTGACGTGGATGAGGTTAAGTTTATCAAAGTCTTGAGGCTCGTATCCGATACGTTTGAAGTACTCCCTCATCTCTGGCAGACTACGTTCGTTCATTCTAGGTCCTGCTTTACGTAGTTGCTCAAGTACCGCTGCATTGGACTGTAAAGAATTAAGCTTGTCAACAGCTTCTTTATATGTAAAAACCATATTCTTTGAAGAAAAAAAACGTCGAAACATGTAAGAAGCAAAAATAAAAAAAGATTTTTTAATCTGTCTGTTTGTATCACAAAGATTGTCGCGCATTAGAGCAAAGTAGCCAATGAATATACAGCATCTCTTTCCCTTATTGATAGATCCAACCTTTGATGCCTTGCATAATTTCCTTACCAATCTGTCCTACTTGCTCTTGATCTTTACCCACTACACTCACGACTACTCTTACACCTTGCTGCATCCCCCATTTGGGATAGCTTCCAATCTTGATATCACTCACTTTATTCTGCATTTGTGTCAAAAACGGAGCAATATCACCTTCACCTAGCTCAGTAGCAATCTGTATGCGATGATATCCTTTTTGATCCCCAACGATATCCAAAAAATATGGCCGAAGCGATTCTAAAAGACCTTCGAATAGCTTTGGAATACCTGGCAAAATATGAATATTCTCATTGACAACGACTACTGGAACCCAAAAGTTTTTATCCGGACGCAGTTTGATTGATGGCTCTGGAAACGTTGCCATCCGTTTACGTTCTTCTGTTAATGTCCAATTCGGGTATCGATCTTTAGATGAAGTTTCCATTTGTTGACAGGTCTCTTGATCAAGAACAAGTGGAAGTGAATACGTTTTGGCAATAGCAGCATAGGTGATATCGTCGTGTGTTGGACCTAGGCTATCTCTCTCAGTCGCGCTTTCCCTTTTTTATAATTTTTTTTTCCTACCAATGCCTCCGCTCGTAAAGACAAAATTGTGTTGACTGGAAAGTCTCTTGATAGTCTCTGCAATGGACTCATAGTCATCAGGTATAGTTTCTACTCTTCTCAAGTCGATGCCTAGATCAAATAGATACTTGGCTTACTTTTGCCATTAGGATTCTTTCATAATGTCTAATCTTTTGTTACCCAAAAAGTAAGCATTCGAATCTCTTGTTTTGCCATTTAATATTTCGTCACCAATGATACAACAGGCAGCTGTAGTCGCCTTTTTACTCATGGCTGAATAATGTCTATGAAATTGAGTCAAAAATGGCCTTGTTCTTAAAGCACAAGAAAGTAACATTAAAAAGCGAAAGAGAAAGACAGAGGAAAAGGAAATGTACTACAGATTGCCCTTTTTAGAATGAGTATCATGACAGTCCTTCCGCTTTCACATACTTTCTCCTTTGAAAATGTATGAGTTAACAATCAAATTCAGTTGTAGGATCACTGGATGACTATTGTGACAAAACAGCTGTCAAATTAGTACAAATGCGAATAAAAAACTGCTACTATTGAATATTGATCCTTGAAACGATTAAGCTTAAAATACTACTGAAAATTATACAAGAGAACTAATAACTATTAACAAATGCGTCAAAGACATAGACTAGTGCTCTATCAGTTATTTGAAAGAAATATACAATGCTATAAGCAAACGCTTTATGTTTTCAAGCAGGAATATTTCTTTATTTAGAAGAAGAAGAAAGAAACAATGGTTAAAAAAAGAAGAAGAGAGCTATTTCTATTCAATATCAGCGGTCAATACTGAATCCAATTGTCTCTCCGTTCTCATTTTGGAGAGCCAGATCTTCAAAAACTCTGTCGCAAAAAATGCACTCCTTTGACGGAATATTACCGCTAATAAACATGCCTTCAACCTTCAGATTGCTCTGGATCGCGGGACAATGTTTTGCTAAATTTAGAAACATCGACTTCATAGTACCTGCAAGTTTTATAACACCATCATTCAAATTCTTGATTGAGTCTTCTTCTTTCTTGCCAACCTCAACAGTACAGAACCTATACCTGCCACAGGCTATCAGAAAGCCAGGGATATCTCCTGCATTTTTTCTATTCATGCAACTAGCGGTTGGCATCCTTCGTTTCTTGTTTCTTTCAGCTACTGACGAAATGCTTACTACTTGACTATATTGCGGATAGGAATAAGGATGACGATATGTGGATATTTGTTGTTATGGTCTTTGGCAACTGAGATCGCTCCCATCGAAGGTGGTGTCAATGAATGAGATCCCTCTCAGAATGATTGCCAAGGGCAAGTATCCGGTTATGAAGAGGTCAGCCGCAAACTGCAAAGTATTTTTTAGCTAGTAAACATCTCTGCTTTCGAAGGGGTCGATGGTCTTGTTGTTTAGAATTTTGAAAACATTTTCCAAGATTTCTCCTTTTGGAAATACTTCAGTTCTACTTTCAAGAGCTGACTTTATCAAGTTCTCCTGGAGTAAAGCAATCACTGTAGCGCTCATCGCTCAAGTCCAAAGTAATGGAGCAAGCAGGACTAGTGATAATCACAATAAAATTAATATTAGATGATTAAATAAACTTGTTCTGTCTACTTACTATTTGTAATTCAACCTGCAAGCATATCTTTGCCTGATCATCTGTTTATATTTCGTCAACAAAAATTGTCATTATGTAGCACCGCGCTAGACGTAGGCAAAGATAGACATCTTTCCACACCCTTTGATGTAGAATACAAGTTTATAAAGTATCTATCTTGTTTTGTGTTATTTTCAAAAAGAAGAAGAAATTAAAAAAAAAGAGCTGTTATTTATTTTAATTTTTTTATGTTGTCATTTACTATCAACAAAGATGCAAGGACACGTGTAATTGTGTTAAAGAATATTCCATTGGAAAGCGTTAGGTTAGCTAGGGGCTTTGGTAATGTGAAGTTGTATAGCGATGGCACAGGTAGCGCCTAGAAGAAGCGCTCGTGACATTGGCCGCTTTGTCGTGGATTTCCTATACGCGTAGTGCCTCTCAATAAAAACCAGCTCTATAGAAAAATTGATTTATTCTTGGCATGGTAGAAGAAAAAAGTGTGTGTGTGTAGAGAAATAAGTGAACTGTTTCTTTCTTCCATGAGCGAAAAATACAAACTACACGGCTCCTCAGACATCCAAACAAGTTGTCTTCCAAAAGGATAACACTAGATTTCTTCAAACTGGGAAGCTCAAGTGAAGAAACGAAAAAAGCTTACATTGTGACTATGAAAGTGCTTCTGAGTTAAAATTCCTTATCTGCATGAATTTTTTTGGTTATCTAGAGCAATTAAGGAGAATGCTATTCTTCATTCCCCATCGATTTCCAATAGGCCAATACCTTAATAAGTTGTTACAAAACATGTGATTCAATTACAGTGTAGCTAGAACTGAAATATTTCAGACTCTTTGCAAATGAAAAAAGATCCTATTTAAACTATTGTTCTAACATCATAGACTATATTAATTTTAATCTAACTTCCGAGCCTTGCCTTTATAGACAGGGGTCGAAAAAAATATATAATTCTGATACTGAATACTAAGAAAAGTAGTTATACAAAATGTGTACTTAGACAGCATTTTCTTAAATACCATCTGAAGGATCTCTAGAAGGTAGCATACCGCGCCAAATACCGAACTGAAAAGTTTCATATTATTTGAGTGAACACATTTAATTTAAAATAATTGTGGCACTATAAAGATAAAATCTTTGTGTCCACTACTGAAACCGTCTCTGCAACATGGGGATCCTTTACTTACATTGCGGATGTGCCTTTCATGACTGGGTTACAGCCGATAATATAACAACAGGTCTATGAAAAGAATGGAGCCTCCGACAAAGGGGAAATATGTATCGTGAAAGCAAGCATGGAAAACCGTTTAGATATATTGTTAACTGATGGCCCAACTCTAATAAAGTGGATACCCCCACCTTGCTTTAAATGACAAAAACAATTTTCTTTTTTTTTATCTATCCTAATTTACATTTATTATCTTCGTTTTCTTTATTAGATTCTACATTCTAAAAAAAAAGGGGGGGATAGCACTATTGTTTATGTTAGAGTACTTCTGAACAGGCTTTTCATGCCAAGGACTGAATTAACTATATGGAGATTCCAACTTAATTACTTGTAAATTCCTATGTTCAAGGCTGTCTTGTACAATTGTGAACACGCAAACGGAAGACTGTATGTTGGACAAGCTCTGAAAACACGGGTATTAAACCCTGGTACCATATTTTAGAGTAAAATTTTGTTGCCCCAAAAAAAAAACTCTTTCCTTTCCTTCTCGAAACATGCTTGCTTTAAGGCTTAGCTTTATAGTGGGAACACTGCTTAAATTCCACGTTTATCTTAAAATCCTTAATACGTTGGAGATGTTATATTAAAGATGTTTAATTTAAATATTGAGTAGCAATAGAACAAAAGATTTTTTACTAGCAAAATTAAATAAAAATTGCTTCTTCTCTTAGAAATATACGTGACCTAAGAGCACAATAAAGCTGATAAGATAATAAACATTTATCTGCAGCGAGAAAACTATCAAATGACAATTTCGTGAAGTGACAGTTAACTAAAAGTGTGAAGAGTTGACATGAATTATGACTCATAGAGGAAAGCATGCGTATGGCAAGTATAACTCTATGGGGGCAGTAAAAGCTTGCTTTGAACAACATTGTGCCAAGACAAGTGATGTTAGTATTTGTGTAAAAAAAAGAAGAGAAAGAAAATGCAAGCAGCTAATACGAGGGCTAAACCCTATATTGGATAATAAAGTCTGGACAAATAGGCACAATTATAAAAAGAGCTTGATAGCTAAGCTGTCTCAACAAAAAATTGTCTGTCCCAAATTATTGATTACGCTTGCTTTTCTAAATAAGAAATCATGCAAGCTTGTCTTCTATAGATTTTCTACAGTCGCTTTTTAACCTACAAGAGTATTGAAAACGATTACTGCTTACGATATTCTTTTTTTTTTTCTTTCTCATGAAATGGAGAAGAACGTTTTGATATTAAGTCGTCGCGAGGTTTCTGTCAGGCGCGGCTTTACTTCTAGACAACAGTGTACTACAACCATTTCAATCTGAAACAAGAGTCACAACGATTTCATGATCTTGTACGACACCTCAACATAATCCGCGTGTCCATGGTAACACTGGCCTTAGCATTCAGCTTGTGACACACATACCTTATAAATGGGGAAAACTCTATTATAATTTATTTATATACGTTTTTGTCAGTTTGGCGGTTTCTGTGCATAGTTGATGAACCATTTTACATTTGTTTTATAATTTCTACATTCTATCCCGCATTTTTCCAAATGCGCCTCAAACTCTTCAGGGTCTTCAAAATCAGAATTGATTTTTGCTACAATAGGTCTCAGCGCTAAGCTCACGTATTTAAAATCTTGCCTGTATGTGAAGATGACATCCCTTGAGTATATACACTCAACATACGACTGTTCAGCTTACCACCACAATTCTCCTGCTTTCCCACCGTGATTGATGGGTATCTGTCTATTAAGCATCGTCACATTTTCAAAGCCTGTTGATATCAGCCGATCATGGAGCTCTTCACCGATGTTAGGACACATGTTTCGATATAGTAACGCGCTATGTACTGTCCAAAAAAGAAAGATGAAGAGAGAGAGAGAGAGAGAGAAAAAAGCTGATGATTAAATATGAGGTTTTTCTTACCGCAACTTGGGTATATAGCTTCACTTACGTGCTGCTTCGTACTCTTTTGTAAGTGGCCCAGTATCTGTCATGTCCATGACAGGCTATAAAGATGGAGAGAAAGAGACAGCATGCTTTAGCCCTTGCTAAATTCACGAAACCAGCACCTTACCTCAGCCAGTTCCAAATATCCTCCAGGCTTGAGGATACGATAGAGTTCCTTTAGATTCTAAACAAGCTATGAGACCTCTTTGTATATTGTCCTGAAGAATGATTTACATTTTGCCAGTCTTTCTCGGTTAAACCTAGAATGACTAATCTTTGGTGTATATAATCAAATGTATTGTCATCAAAGGGTATATTCTTTGCAATATTTCCAGTGATAAATTCAACATTGGGAGGCTTTATGTTCTCTGGAAACAAGGCTGAAACATCTATTCCTATAAACTTAGAATTTGGGTAGGCGTCTCCCATCTCTAGAGTCCAAGTGGCAGGTCCGCAACCAGAATCGAGTACTTGAATGCCGTTTTCTAACTGTTTATGAACTGGAGCATGAAAATTACTAAAGAATTGGATGCGGCTTTAATAAACAAGATAAAATATATCGCTTTGTTTACCATTGGAAAATATGCCGTAACACCCAATGTTGTTGATGATTTCTATCAATCTCTGTCATTGTATTTTTTTAGCACAAAAAAAAAGTCAGCATTCTCTATATACTAAACTGTCATCTCGTGTAGTACACACCATCATCATCATTTGGCAAAACGTAGTTCACTTCTTCATCATCGTGATGTCTTCTACCATTCAAGTATCTATATCTATGTCCTGAACTTGTACTTTTTGACTGTGCGTAGCAATCGCTACGGTCGGCTGAGTCTGATAATCTATTTGTTTCATCGGTTGAAGCAACCACGACAGTACTTCTTGTTGCTCGTCTAAACAGCTTTTTACTAAAAGATGAACTCTTCTTTTCATTGCGATCAATCTTTTGTCGTCTTTCTTTTCGTAATAGTAGATTCTTGGAAGAAGCAGCGCCCATTTATATTTGTGTGAAATGAAAAAAAAGGAAAACAATAGGGAGAAGAGGCAAAAAAAGGAAAAAAAAGGGTTAGAACTTAACTTTATCGTCTACAACTCCAGTTACACTGCTTTGTAGTACTTGGCATCATCTTGCAATGTCTTTATAATTTTGTTTGTACAACTTTAGGATATTCTAGTTAAATGGTCATGTATTTAATAAAATATGTAATCTGTTACTAGGATACTTAAATTGTTGTACTTTTAATATATTCAATGCAGCCTGATTAGATGTTTGTGCATAAATATTCAAGAGTATGTAACAATGTTGACTGACCGTTGTTCCACTAATAATGTTCTTGTAGTAAACTAGTCTCGTGTGGCATTGAATTAGGTCTTACACGGCTATAGACGGGGAAACATTGTAACTATAGAAAATAGATTATGATCTGCGTATACAATTACTCATACACATACAACGTGAAAAATTGTATATTCATTGATTCATGTTGTATTTAAGCTTTTATTCAAGTCATACAAATGCTCTCTTAATATTGCGGTATTTGGCTTGGGGCACGCGCCAATAAAAAAGTCTACTGTTCAAACCATGGAAAAGTTTACCAGGCTATTCCATATATATATTTATGCATGTATATTTATACACATTTATATATATATATTATATATAAATGTATTTATCACTCATCATTCTTTCATTTTTAATCAAAAAGGGATTACGTAAAGAATTAAACTGTGAACATTGAACTTTAGTTCTAGAACAAGCTCGTCTTTTCTCTTTCTCTTCTTTCTCCTTTATGTTACCACACTAAGGGGGGCTGTTTATGGTTACACTCATTTTACTTGTTGTGCTTTATTGTTGTCTTTGGTCAAAGGGAAATAATGTTCCAAACTTGAAATGCTGAACCACTGGCACTTTCTTCAGTACTTCTGCAATATACATCTTGGTCATACCAGTATTCACTTTACTCCATGATACTAAACTGGCAATGTCATTAAGCATAGGGGAATGCTCAAAAAAGGGACCTCTTTTAACCTTTGTAAAGAAACATTAGTTATCTTTTGTGGTTTCTTTTCGACATTACTTCTAAAATGTATTGGATGCATCTAAAATACATATATTCTCCAGCACATTGATTTACTGTCTCCTTATTTAATATAGACCTTGGCTTTAATATCGGGTGATCTAGGTGTGTATAAGAAAATAGCTCTATATATTATCAACTCTCTTTTACCAATCAATTGAGAACTTCCCCAAACATACGGTAGAAACTGATGATCATCTAGACCCCAGACTCCATGACTACCTGCAGGCTCCAAGGAATATGTCTTTTGAATCTTACGAACCAATTCCAAGTATCTTTTTCAAAAAAAAATAAAATAAAAATAAAATAAAAGCTCAGCCAAAAGTTGGTCCCTATTGAGGTCATGTTTCTTCCACTTACCTTACAAATACTCTCAATACAATCGCTTGATAATCGTTCTCATCAAATCCTCCTAATAATGCGATACCAGCTAACCATGCAACAAAACTAAGCTCGTGTCCTGACCCATAATCAATTCTTGTTGCATTTCCAAATCCATTATTCAAATATTCCGTTAATTCGGGTATAGCTTTATGCAATTGTTCCTGTAAGACCTTCTCGAGTAACTCTCCAGAGGACTATAAATATATATACACATGGTTATTCCCCAAGTTTGTATGAAGAAGAAAAGAAAGGAAACAGATCTTAACATCAAATGATTTATGTATTCTTTTCTCTCAATACCTGATTCAATCTATCTACCCATTGTCTAAAGGCTTTGTTGCCAAATCTTTGAGGGTTATCTAAAGGAGGAAAATCATTTAGCCAAGAATCCATCACGTCAAGCATTTCCAAGATGCGTTGTGTTTGCTACGAAATGAGTTTGAAGTTTCTTTAATGTTATTCTTCTGTCTTCTGTCTTCTTTTTCTTACAGGTGAAGTAGTGCAAGGATCTGAAATCTTTTTCTTGTAAACACTTTCATTCAATAAAGCAATAAATGTCATCAATCTATCAAATGCAATAGATTTCGAAAATATTTCAATATCCTTTTGTTCATGAATACGACGCACTGGTTCTGTAGGTTGATAGGCTTCAAGGATATTCTCTAAAGGTGTTATTTTCCCGAGCATAATAACAAACAATAATAGAAAGGGAAGGATAAATTAAGAACAGTCGTGTTTGTGTGTCTGCTGCTTTTTTTTTTTCATGTTTATATCTATATCACCGAGAATATCACTAGTTGACGTAACAACAGAAACGCTACCTTTACTCATAGAACTACATAAACTGGTATTTCCTGTTAGTTATGGTGCCAAGTTCTTTCAGTTTGTGCTTAATTCAGGAGACTTGGCTAAACTAGGTAATGTTTGAAACCAATAGAGAAAAAGTATAGTGTGTTGACCAGACTGCTAGTTTACTATGATAATCAGTGTGCTGGAGCCATATGCTGTAGACTAGAAAAAACGAGGCCAGATGACTATTCGGCACGAATGTACATGATGACACTCGGTGTACTAAAACACTATAGAAACTTGGGACTGGGTATATTGATGTTGTTTTTATTTAGTTCATTTTGCTTATGCTATTACTATTATTATTAGGAAGCATCCTTATAGAATACATCATGTCCGTGGCTAGTAGAATAACATATCCATTGGTCACCTCTGTCTATTTACATGTTCAAGTTGTCAACGAAAAGGCCATTCGATTTTATTTACGTAACGGATTTCAGATAGAAGCCATAGCTCACGATTATTACAAGTTGAATGAAAATAGAGATGCCTATATCTTGTCTCGGCCTGTGATCCATTATAAGTAATTGTATACATATGCACGCATATGTATGTTTATGCAGATATGCTTAAAGAAGAGTACTCTTCTTTCAATTTTAACTAAAGGTTGCTCATCACGCCGAAATAATCTGCGATAATGGATACGCTCAAGATGTTTCGTGAACCCATCATTAATTAATGGAAGGCTATACTATCATGAAGAAAAGAGAGCGCATAAATTCATGACACGATTTAATAAAAAAGAATCTTTATCATGTTTTGGTCTTGAAGCTTCATAAATTACCACTTTTAGATATGATCATTATTTAAAACTACACGATACTTTGACATTTTAATCTCTTTTTGCATCATTTTTGGCAAAAGATGAGTTTCTATTATTTATTTTGTATAATTTATTGTTCCTTGTTCTCTTCTTCCTTTTCTTTTTCTTCTTCTTCTTCAGCTTTCAACATGGCTTGAATTCTTTCTTCTGCCTTCTTTCGATTGGCTTCAGTAGCCTTGGGTTGTTCTTTAATAAAGTACTCTTTACGTTCTTTTAATTTTTGAAGTGTAGTAGGAATTTCAGAGATTTTGGTAGGTACTGTGACCTTGATATCAAAGAAGGCTTCCATGGTAGAAAGAGGTAATTTGAGAGCATCTGACTTCTTGGTGTCTTTGACAGCTTCCTTGTTCTTACCATGCTTCTTTTTGTTATTGCCAACAAAGAAGAAGTCATCATCTTTCTTCTTGATAACCATGCCTTCAAATGCATTAGCGATTTCATTCGCATTGGAATCAGCAGAAGCATCGTTTTTGTGGTTAGGGCTAAGATAACTTTCCAAGAAGGCAGAGAGGTTATCACAGAGGGCAATTTCATTTTCAAATGCAGGCAAGGAAGCCAGCTCAAGTTCTTGCTTGGCAGCTTCTTGGCGTCTTTCATTTTCTTCTTGAACCTTACGAAGTTGCTCCTGTTCCTTCTTCCATTCACGTAATTTGCGAATAAACGTGTAGTATTCATCGTTATTTTTGCGATGCTCGTCACGAAGAGTGCGTAATTTGTTGTATTCTTCATCTAACAATCCCTTCAGACGGTTACGTTCATCATAAAGCTTATTACGAGCTTCTCTTTGCTTATTTTGATCTTCTTGGATCGTCTTGAATTCAGCATCAAGCTGTTCATAACGATCACTTAATTTCTTGGCTTCAGAATCATCGATATTCTTCTTTAATTCGTCATAAATAGCTCTTTCTCTATTGATTTCGTTCTGTTGTTGGTCAATGTCTTCGAATGAAAGACGATTACGCTTGAGCAACGAGATTTCTTGAAGCATCTATAAAGTGTCAACTCATAACACGCGTACACTAATGTATATCTTACCTTCTTTTCCTCGACAATTCTTACACCAGCTTCAATCTTCCTTTCAAGTTCACTAAGAAAAGATAAGTTGATCAAACATGCCAAGCCATATCATATAAACATACGAAATACGAGCATCGACTTCTTCAGTGCTTCTATAAGGGATCTTGCTCTGGAAACCTTTCACGACAGTAACCTAAAAAGTATAAGCATACATAATATTTATACATTATTATTTACCTTCTTTCTGATAGAGTCATTCAGGGCATCCAATTGTTCATAGACAGCCTTACGACTCTTCTTGAGTTCAGCCTGCTTTTCACGTATCTCGGCCAATTCAGTCTTGATTTGTTCACGACGAGAGTTATCGCCCTTGGGAGGTAACTTGGCGATCTTATCCTTGACAGCATCCTATAATGTAGGGTTCATCATCTTGCAAGATGATGCTTTTTTTTGCTTTTTAGAACTTACGAATTGCTTTTGAATCTTTTCGATAGAAGCGTTGATGCTTTCAATACTCTTTTTATATTCTTCCTCATTTGGCTTCTTGACGTGTTCAGGGAGAACAGGAGGAGTAGAAGAAACGACTTGGGTCATGTTGGCCTAAAAAAGTTAAAAGGGAGAAAGAGAGAGAGAGAGAGAAAGGGGGTGCGCGAGTAGAAGGGTTGGAACCCAATGGAAACAACCCTCAATTGTAGCGGCTACTTAATTTTTTTTATTGGATTGACGAGCTCCAATCCATGCTTAGATATGAAAAAAAAGAAAGAAAAAAAGGGTGATAAATGCTGTCAACTATATGTGTTTTTTTAATCAATAAAGTCTAAACAAAAGGGGGTTGCATACAGGCTTTTCTCTTGATTGCAGATAGTTTCTTTATTTGTATCTCTTTTTTCTTTTTTTTTGTACGCTGTTTCTCGAAATGATTAAAGTTTATAAACCATTCTTTTTTACTTTTGATTCCAAAGAAGCTTTCTTAGAATAAGCTCTCCAAGCAGGTTGAGCTAATCAGGACAGATATTTATTATGTATGTTTACGGCTCAATTGAGATCATGTAAATAAGAAATACATAGTCATATTACTCCCTTCTTACTCACAATGACTATGAGTCTGAGTTTCGTTTACAATTGCAAAAATGTTTACAAGAGTGTCCTTAATTCTACGTGAATTTGCGTGTACTAGCATGCTGCAAGTGGTATCATCAAGACAAGGTTGACTACGCATTTGTTACTTTTATTATTCGACTGATTCGCACTATTTGTCGTGTCAAGGTTCCCAGTACAGCATTTTTCTTTTTTTGGAGAAAGACGAACGGATTGACTTCTGATCCGGACAGATAATTTAAACAGAGTAGAATTTTACAAAAAAGGAAATCGGATATTATCCAATCAGGAACGACTAAGCCACATTCACTTTTATACACTGCAAAGCAAAAAAAAAATAGCAATTCTTTAATAGATTGACAAAAGATGGGTAAAAAGCCATTTCTCGACAAGAAGTCAGCCAAGCATTATCATGTTGTACACCGATCGCAAAAGGATCCTCTTATTAATGATTCCGAAGCACCCAGTCGAGTTCTACAAGAAGTCTTGCCTCTTAATCAATTGAAGGTAACAAATAAAGAATAGAAAAGAGAAAAAGACGCTGACTTTGTTGTCAAGCATAAAACACAAGAAGAAATTGATAGAGTAAAAACAAAACCACAAAAGTTGACCCAGGATGAAATAGACCAGTAAGAAGGGCACCCCATGTTAAAGATAGTCTCTTTAATTTCTTTTATAGGCGTGTAGGTCAGGCAGCACTGCACGGTATTTTCTTTGACGATGCTGAATACGATTATATGCAACACTTGAAGCCTATTGGAGCCACGGATGCAGTATTTTTGGAAGCACCTGCAAAGAAGGAGAAACCAAAGACATTGGACGAAACAAACTTGTTCAAAGAAGATGAATATAGACCCAAGAAGAATCCTAACCTGATCGAGTTACCTGCCGATGTTTTGCCTTCAAGCGTTGAAATGAGTGTAGGCGTTATGAATCAATCAACAGGGCTCGATCAAGGTTTACAGCCTGATATGGATCCCAGATTACGTGAAGTGCTTGAGGCTCTTTCAGATGAAGAATACATCGATGAAGAATTAGATGATGATTTCTTTAACAATCTTAACGCTGATGGTGAACCTTATGATCCAGCTGAAGATGAAGAAGAGTATGTCGATTCTGAAGAAGAATATGAATATAATGAACAGCCTGAGGAAGATGGTGATAACTATGACTGGGAAGCAGCGTTCAAAAAGTAAAGACACACATATATATATACATGCTGAATTAGATTACTTAACCCAGATGATAGGTTTAAATTGAGTCAGGCTCGTAAAAGTGCTGATAGTGACGATGAGTTTGATGATGATCGATTTGATGGACAATCAAGAATGACTGGATATTCCGTCTCTTCCTCAGCCATGCATCGTAATACCCAATTGCGTTTATTAGACGATCGATTTGAAAAGATTGAAGAAGAGTATGCTGATGATGATGATGAAGAAGACGAAGAAGAAGTTCAGGGACAAGAGCGTGCCGATTTTGATGCCATCTTGGATGACTTTTTAGAAAAGTATGAAATTGTAGGAAGAAAGATGCAACCCAAGCTAGAGGGTGAATCTTCTGTAGAAAAGCTCGATACATACCGTCAAAGTTTGGTAAAACCAGAACTACAAACAGATGAACAAACAAAGACCACTACCTTGGTAAGGGCTAAATTGACAAGGGAGGCATTAGAAGCTATGCCTGAGAGACCGACAGAGAAGAAGAGAGCAGCATGGGATTGTCAGACTATTCTTTCCACATATTCTAATCTGGAAAACCATCCTTCGTTGATTACTGATAGAGCACCTCAAAAGAAGATTAGAATTGATCCCAAGACAGGCATGCCGATCTTGGTCGAAGTTAAACGTAAACAAAAAAAGGATCAAATTGATGAAGAAGAGGAAGAAGAAGAGGAAGAAGAGGAAGAAGAGGAGGGCACACGTGAGAATAAAGGAGCACCTAGATCAAGAAAAGAAACCAAAGAAGAAAAGAAGGCACGGAAAAATGCAGTTAAAGAGGCTAAAAAGGTAAAATAAAAAAGTAAACATGAATGAGCTCCCATTAACGCAATTAACTTCAGAATCGAAGAGAAGAGAAAAAGACAAACAAATACATCTTTAAAAACGAAGAAAATAAACAGAAAAAGAGTCTTCAGCAACAACGCCAAGCGAAGGCGGCCACACATATTTTATAAACATTGTACAATAAAAACTCATTTTACTGATTTACATCTTGGATTTGCCCTTGTACTTTTCAATTTCTTCTGCGGTCAGAGTAGTAATGATCGCATTCTTTGACAAAGGAAGTCCTATTACTTCTTGAGTCATTCTTAATGTCATCCCCCACAAGTGCGGCCCATCCGTTGTTTGCTTGAGAGCAATGGCAGGTACCAAAACAGAAGACGGCCAAAGCCTCTTGATCTTTTCATTCACAGTTGTAATAGCATCAAAGGGGATAATTGGATTTGACAATAGATACCGTAATGGAACCCCTAAGAAAACGATACATTAATTAAGCATATTCTATCACTCATTTACACCAGTGTTCCTTACAGATAGCTTCAGCTATTTCCGAATTGGGTACGCTAAGAGATGGTGTTTGTGGTGTAACCTGTAAGAAGACTATTTTTTTTCCCATATTATATAATTCATATTGTAATGCAAAGTAATAAAAGTAAACTTACCGTGAGGAACAAGGATCATCACTACCTTACTATCATCATCATACTTTTTAATGGCTCTTGGATCCAAAGTGGCAAGATGAATAAACGCGCTTGAGCCTAAATCCAGACCTATCTCTTCTTTACATTCTCGAATGACTGTATGTAAATCATCTTTATCGCTAGGTTCGCTTTTGCCACCAGGAAATCCTACTTGTCCTGACCATCTTTTAGAGGGTTAATTATTATTTAAAGTATGAGATGAGTCACTTACGGGTCGCCCGGTCGAACTGCACGCTGGATATAGAGTAACTCAGCTTGGCCGTGGCAGTCATTAACCCAGGGCTCATTGAAGAATTCTGATACAGTCGAGGGCAATGGATCATGGTTACTATTGTGATCTACAAAGGGTTTCCATCGGATAATGGCTGCAACGCAAGCATGGCGGACATCAGATATAGGCGCTATCGGCTGACGGTTTCTTTCAAAGTGATCTAGTCTGTTGATTATATCTTTCAAGTCTTTACTTTTGCGTGGTCAATTTAGCCATCTTTATTCAGTTTCTTTCGAAATACCTTGCTTTGACATTTAAAAAAAAAAAAAAAAAAAAAAAAAAAAAAGAAAGGGTGTTCTTTTGTCATACATGGGCGCACAAGAGTCTTGTGTTATACATTCTAAATTTATTTTATTAAACTCTTCTTCTGTTATTGTAGCTCTTCTTTCCCAAATCAAATGGAATATACTTGTATTTGATCATATGACCGATTTGTCTACGCATAGTTAAACCGAATAAGATAAGGAAATACATCAATAAGATTGGCCAGTAAACAGGGATATCAAATATACGGAACATTGTACAAAAGATAGAAATAAGAGTTGCCTTAGTTACAGAGTACCTATTCACAATCCATGATCAATATCTCCCCTCTCTCTCTTTTTATCTTGACATACCAAAACTTGAACTCGGGAAGACGACGAATAAAAGGTTTGAATTCTTCATCATTCTTTAAGGGAAGGGAAGGACCTTCTTCCATTTCATTTGCTTGTGTATCAAGTTCGACTGAAGGGTCAAACTTGGGTGTCAAAAAAGCCAAGAAAAGGTTCAACATGTAGATTCCTATGGTCATTAAGTACATCTTTTCCTTTTTATAACAATGTATCCTATTTCTTTTGTTTTCTCTCTCTCTTTACCTAAAGCATATCTATATTACAATTTAACGTGTTGGAATTGTGTGTATACAGTTAGATTAATGAGCTTACGCAATAATGTACCATCCTTCTCCATAAATGACACGTGCCATGAACAATACCAAAAGTACTGCTGTCGCTGTCCAACGGTAAGGTACAAAGGGTGTAATCTGATCTAAGAGTTGCTGAAATTTCTAATTGACCGTTTTTTAGTTTTTCGCCCCTTTCCCCTGTGTTGCAAACTTACTCTTTCCAACTGTGACTTTTGAGCCATCAAGTTAGATGTTGTACCCTCTGGTTCACCAAATTCATTCATTTTGACTTTTTAGAAAGAAAAGAAAGAGAAGAGAAAAAATGTTTGCTGTTGTGCAATGAACAATGCTGCGTATGATTGGCTGAGAAAATTATAAATTAGGTCCTCAAGCAGATGATGTATATGGACCATCTTTAACAATAAAGAACTACAAATAGAGTAACAAAAGCGAGCCAAAGTTAAAGGATTGCATCTTTTTAGTGAAAAAAAAACTAGTTTGGCATAATAACATGTAGTCTATCTCTCTCTCTCTCTCCTGGCCAAGGGAAACAATGGGTCTAGACATCATATCTTTACCAAGACATTTAGCAAAAAACTAGTACAGTACAATAATCAACCAAATGTGACGCTTTCTTCAAAGTATCTCTAACAGCCATTCGATAACTAAAAGTACTTGTAAATGTCTTTATCTTGTCTAACATCTGACTTGATGCTGCTCTCAGAGATCCACTTTATATAAACATTGACGATATAAATCGATTGCTTTTAGAGACTATCTCAATAATATAGAGACTCATTGTCATTGGAAACGCTATCCTCTGTTAATCTTCTTCTTTTAACAAAGAGAAACGTCTATTTATAAACGACGCAACAAAGTGGATCAAAAGCAAAACTAAGGCTGCTTCCTATTGGCTGATACTACTGCATTTATTGTGATAATGCTTTGATGCTTTGACATCATTTATAAAAAGGTTCTCTAGGGCAAATTAGAGCAATAAATTCAGGCTTCAGTTCATGCTGTGATATTTGAGGACTGAATCCTTAATGGACTTTACAACCTTGGACGGTCGTGATGAGACGCAGCCAGCTAAATAAAATGAGCCAATCAATTTTGACCTTTTTTTTGTGACCACCTTTTCTTTTTTTGAAGTAAACCCCTAGCCCTTTTTTTAAAAGAAACTGTTTTTCAACAACAATGAGGAGTCGAGTACTTCGTGATATAAAAGCTCGTCAGGCAGTGGCAGATAATGAAGTCGTTCGACAAGCATTCAAGTTTATTACTAGAAATGAAACATTACCTGCTAGAATTCGTCATCAAGCTCAACTTCAATTGAATGCTATGCCAAAGAATACTTCACCCACTTATATTCATAACCGATGTGTCGCTACTGGACATGGCAGTGGTATCCTTCGTGAATTTAAACTATGTCGATATCAATTCAGAGTAAAGGCTTTGAACGGTGAGCTTCCTGGTGTGAAGAAGGCATCATGGTAGAATGGAAAAGAAAAAGAGAACTGTATTATATATATATGTATTTGTGTATTTGGGAATAAACGTCATTTTTGAGCAGATGTATCTATTTTATAAACAGTGTAGAGGAAATCCCTTTTCTAGTGCACAGTAAGGGCATTTAGGTCTTTCAAAAGAAGTAGAGGATGTATTAGGTACATAGTCTTGATCACTCTTCATGAAATGCATAGATACATCAATTGTCGTAGGATAGATTTGATCCACCAAGACTAGTAGTTTATCTGATACGATTGTTTGTTGGTCTTGTTGCTTTATACAATCAGGTTTTATTCTGATCTTAACGTCTAGTTCTTCATGCTCCAAAAGTACGCCCTCAATCATATCAAACTCCAACATACCGTTTGCTGAGAACAAGGAAAACTTTCGTATGCTATCCGAGCTCATATTTTTTAATGTGATGTGGGCAATCTTTGAATAGATCACGTTCTGCTTCATTTGACATTCTAAATAAATACGACTTGGTTCAACAGTGCATAATCTATCCTCATTCATGCGCTGCGTTACTGACTTTGCCACTCCTTTTACGACTGTATATCTATTTCCAAGCGAATCTGGTAGCTTTTTCTTTTTTTAAAAAAACGGTGAGTTTAAGAAAAAAAAAAAAAAAAAAGGTAACTTACAAATCGTGCGTCAAGCAATGCACTCACAGTTCCCTAAATAACGATTGTGTTTAGTTTTTCTCTATTTTATTTTTATGGTTGCCTAGAAACCTTTCCACCGCTCTTTCTTCCCTCAACTTTATTATCATGTTTTACGTCACTAACTCCCTTTGACCATATATCTGCTATACTTTCCATGGACATAGATCGCTTTTTGGAATACTCCCCTGAATGTTGTATTCGTTGTTTTGGTAATGATTCTTTACCCTGTGATGTGTTTATAGATTCCATGTTTGTCAATGGTAACTGAGATGATTTTTGGTTCAAACCACATTGTTGTTCTAGTTGAGCGGTTAAATCTTTTTTATTGTCAATAAGAAATTCGTTAATGTTTAAACTAGATGCAAACGAGATTGAAAGATCATCGTCTTCGTCGTCGTTCATATTTTATAAAAAAGGAAACACAATTTACACTTTTAAAAAAATATACAAAATCAAACAAATCTATAACTTTTACATTATTTACAAGGTGCACAAAAAAAGAAAATTATGCTTGAGGAATTTGAAGATTCGCTAAAGATTGATTATAGTCTTTGTCAGCAAAGTCTGTAGTAGGATAGGATGATGATAGATGAGGATTGAAGTTTGAAAAACACCACATGTCTTGATTTATCGCAGAATATCCATGTGATTTTTGATTAGATTGACTTGTAGTTTGATATGTGGGCATAACTGTCATTTCTGGCATATTTTGGTTTGTCTTGACTTTAATAAACACATTAGAGATGACCAAAGGAAAATGATATCTTCATACTTACTTGAAGAGGTTTGAGTTGCATAATCCAAAAGTTTTCTAATTGTCGCTTGTTGTTGAGCCTGTGTCTTCTTCATCTCTTCCATATTTTGTAACAGATTAGAATAGTTTTCTTCAAGTGTTTTGAATTGCCGTAAAAGATCAGCCTGATATTGCTGCATAGTGGCCAAGGATGCATGAACATCACCATTTTCTCTTCTCAACAATTCAGAATCCATGGTTTTGCGCTTGATATCTTCCAAGAGACTAGGATTGTCCCTTTGAAAATTTTTATGAGAGAACTCCCAGACTTCATATTCATTACTGCCTCTTTGGCCACGAGGAGACTTGTTGATCTTGTGAAAACCATACCTAATTCGTCTAAGTACATCGCGAAACAATAATCCATAGGTCGGCTACTTACATATTCAACTGTCGTACGAAGCTAGAATAATTTGAATGCTTGAAATGTATAGGAAGTATATCTTGTGAAAAACGAGTAGCATTATATATGAAAAAGGAAGTGCCAGAATTGTTCCAGGCAATGAGATGCTGGTTATGCGCATCATTGACAATGCTATTTCATCATGTTAACTCTTATACTGCATCTCATCATTTGACTGTTTATTACCTGAAGAGTTTGGAAATAAAGGTACTGACGCCTTTCTTTGGTGATCTTTTCGTAGATTCATCATCTTCCCAATGGCTTTCGCTTGTTGAAGCAGATGAACAGGAAAAAGAACGTTCAGTAGGAATAGAATAGAGAGTATCGTAAAAAGTGGACTGAGGGATATTAACGCAATTATATGTAGACATGAATATTGTTATGAGTAACACAATTGAGGAGGGGAAATAAGCGGGTCTATTTATGTAATAAGGGGATTTCCTTAAAACACTCAGGGTTCAATGACGTACATTTTGATTGGAGCCATTTATCGTGCCACTTCGTAACAACATGACAACGTTATTTCTTCAGCTACCTTATTTGGAATATAGGGATGTCTCGGCACTCACGCACAGCTCATTGTTCTTTTACAAATAGGTCAATCAAAGGGCTACTTGGACTGTTTTATATATGTTTATTCAAACAAGATATACTGAATCAATTCCTAGAGTACACTCATTTGTTATCTCATTACTAGGCAACGCAGCAACATGTCTTTTTCTGATTTCTAGATTCTGTCATTCACTTTCCAATACGTAAAGCTTCGAATTTTCAGAGTCCGATCACCTTTTTGAAACATTTTCTGCATTTTGTTGAATATAGACATATCCCATATTTCAATAAACAGGAATATAGCCTCTCTATCTATCTATTTTTTCTCATTGATATACATCTATATAGATAAAATCTATGGATTATATTGATGTGTGGCTATTCAATTGATTTACTTTAATAACCTCCCAAGGCTGATAGTCTAGAATGGATACCATTTGCATGAATTCTTTGATTTCCTTTGTGTAATCCCAATCGTGCGATAGTTCGTATGAAGTGAACCAATGGACACTCATCGGTGGATAGAAGTCGCTATGACAAATGATTTTACATTTATACTATTTATATTTGCTATTTTATTGGTTCAGCTATAGGAAATATAATTGTTTCATATTATCCAATGGTTTTGGCCCGTTTAGTCCCAGTGCTTGAAGTACTTGGTCAGCATTAGGAAGCTGCCTAACAAAATCAATGACAGCAAGCTCCTCTTCATTAGATAGGATGGGCCTATAGATCATCACCTTCTTTTGCCTTTTTAGTTTACGCCATCGATTAGCTCTATCTTTTGTCTGATTGGAGAGCATCGTGTTAAAGTGCTGTTGCTGACGAGAATCGATAAGACCTTCTGTTATTTGCATAACTAGCATAGAAAGTAGGGCACTAATAAGCTCATTTCTTCTAGCTTCTACACTTAAAGTACAAAGGTGCGTGATGGTAAGAAGGGCAAGAGATCGATTTGATATTGATTCTTCGCCAAGTAAAGGATAGTATATCTTGATAATGGGAACACTATTACCTTGCGCATCATTGTCATTTGTATAGGATGCATAATTAAGGCATTCAATGTCACTTGTGTTTTGAGTCAACAGCTTTCTCAATTGCTGATAACCAGGCGTTCCTTGAACATGACATAACTTGCTCCAGTCAACAAGCTCCTGTTAAGAAAAGTTAGAATGTAAAAGATGTACTGATGTTAACATACGCGTATTGTCTTGATTAAACTCGAGATATAATAACAGTCCATTTCGTCAACAACGTCATAATCTTTTCTTAATTGATCTTTTATGAGCTCCATCGTATATAGAATAGAAAAATATTGCTTCAATCCTAATAATATACGGTAAGAACATACATGAGGGGAAACAACATGTCTTGTCACCTGCACGCGTCAATCTATGTACTAGATATTTGGATCCAGTGTTAGCATAATCATATCTTCTTATCACATCTTCACTTGGAAGTGTTTCAAAGAGAGCACCAAGAAAGTATACAATCAGTTTTGGAAAGAGTGGACACAAACTGAAGCCGTTTTGTGGATGAAGAGCATGCTGAAATCCTTCTTTTATGACTTTGCATTCATATGGATGCATCCACAAACACTCCAAGTTTTCCTTCCAAGTTGACGTGACCTGTTGTCGAATGATGTTACCGTTGCGTGATAATAAAAAAAAAAATGATAAAGACTTACCACGAACATGTTGTCTGTCATCCTAGTCGACAGCAAGCACATTTTGAACAAATAGTTCCATCCTTCTTTTGAAAACTTATCTTTCAAACCATTCTCCTGACCATCCTTTGATATATTCCGAAATGTTTTCGATTTGGCAATAGCAGGAAAATGGTCAAGCCACAGTAGTTGTCCCCAGTTGTCTGAAGAAGTAGGTTAAAACCAGCATTACTTTCTTTTACTTTGTTACCTGCTGCGGACTCTAATGATCGTATGAGATCATATGATGAGCATGATGGTTGATTGCCGTATTTGTCGTTATCATGCTGCATAAATATAGCTAGCCTCTCCAGATATCTCAGCATCAATTCTTTATCTTGAATTTCGACTCTAGGTGGAGGTCTAGAACCGTCCGATTGCTTATAGAGGCCCAAGAGGTAAATGAAATAAGATCCTACTTGACTAGATACGCTGTACATGACAGGAGCATAATCAAGTTGAGAAATAAACGTTTTCCAGTCCTGTTCTTTTCCAGGAGGAAACTCGCAAAAGGTGTTGAAGATATAAAGAGCCAATCGGAATGCTTCTTGATCTTTAAAGCTTCTATCCGTATCTGATATGGTGTTCATCACAATAAGATCTGTAAAAACATACTTGCTCAAGAATATATCAATCATATATCCTTTTGCTTGGTCTTGTAGTATTACTGGGCAATGGCTGTCGTTCTATATATGTATATATGTTCTTTTAGTAACGGTATCGTTTTTATTACCCTATAAATACCTTCACAAAAAGCAATTTGAATACTTGACAGATTTCTTTAGACATAGAATCATTCAATGCCTCCAAAGAAGTTATGTCTGCAAATACAATCAAAGGCAGAGCATCTGATGATTTGGTTAAAGTGCAAATATTACCAAGGCTTTTGAGTAAAGGAACAATGGCCTTATACTGGTTCTTGTTGCCTATGGAAGACTTTATCAATTGATATACAACCTTGTATGGCCATAGAATTGACATCTATGAAATCAATTTGAGTTCAAGTGAGCTGATTATATCACTTATGCACTTACTAGTACCAACTTCTTGCTTGTGCTCTGCATAGTAAAACATTCATCATCATCTTCTGTTACTGTGATTTGGTTAATTATCAATGTCAACTCTTCATTAAACCTAATGTTCCATATTTCTGCTAGTCCAAAGCAAGGTAACCTCTCGTTGAATAGTAACTGCCTAATAGAGTTAAGATATTCCGGTGATTCAATGCAATCGATGGATCGTTCATATATCAGACAAGCATCCTACAGCGTAAATAGTTAATATGCTGTAATTAAACATCCTTTTTTCATTTTACTTTAATAATATACAAGTTGTTCTTATCTCCTGACTGCTCATAAAGTTTAACGAGCTCCGAAAGACGTTTACTGAAGGGCTCCAAAAGCTTTTCTTTTGCGATGAATGATCCTATTACAGTCTCAGCGCCTGCTTTGACAATATCTCTATAGTATAAAAGATAAGGCTTTTATTCTTCTAGATATCATACCACTCTTACCTGGACCATATATCAATAAACTGTATCATGATCTTAAGCACAGATATCCAAAAGCGATCATTGTTTATCAAGACATTAATGCACCATAGCTTAACACGCATCAGTGACTCTTTTGCAGTATCACTATTTCTTATAACTGTCTGAAGCTCTTCAAATGCTATCAGATATTTTTCTTTTGACTGTAAACTTCTACTTGATGATTTATTAAAAGTAGGAATGATCTTTCTTTCGAGGTGGCTACAAATCAAGACAAAGGCTGTCTCATGCTCAGATAGCTCAGCTTCTTTATGCTTAACAGACTCCCATGCTTCTTTTAATCTTGACTCGTATGCTCTACAGCAATTGAATGAGCCAATCGTTTCTTTTTACACAAGCATTAGAAACACAGTGATAATTACCTGGTATTTTGACAGTTTCTATTTTGCAAATAAATGGTATATGATAACTTTCTTTTTTTGCTTGTGGAGCTGGATTCAGACAGAAACGCTTCTAATTGTGATCGAAAGGTCGCTGGTATGGCTGCAACTATCGCCTGTGGAATCCCTCCGGGGCATATTTGATGTATCTTTCCCATAAAAGAAAGTATACCTGATACCCTTTTACTCATACTATTTCCCATTGTTTTGTTACGGTTTTGTAACGAGGCCTGTATGAGCATCTGCTGAAGTAAGTTTGCAATCACAAAGAGACCTATTGGATCTATACTGACTTTTGGTTATTTCCCTTTTCCCCTGTTATTATGTTTTGCGTACCTTCTGAACCTTGGCGTATCTCTTCTATAAATGCATCCTCTGATTGCTGATAAAAGTCTTCGTTATCGACATCAAGAGTAAATAGCAGCTTGATATAAGTGGTATATAAGTTTGCTTTGAGCGATTTTACGTCAGACGCGTTTTCTTTGAATATATCCTGTAGAGCAGAGAGTGCAATCTAACAATCCTTTTGTTTTAGCAATACGGACTTTCCTAATCCTGTTCTATCTCTCTCTCTCTCTTACTCTTGTATCAAGCGTATATAAATGATGAATAACTGCCGTATATAGATCATACATGTCTATCAATTTCAAAAATTCACTTGTTCTTAATCCATCCGCAAACCTTGGCACGGAAAAGTCATTATGATACTCTGCATATGCTTGATCAATACTACGTACGCCTATATTTGTAGTAGATTTACCTTGTCTGTTTATCAAAGCATTCAACAAAACCTTTGCAAATGCTGCAGACACTGTAAAGGATTTGGTGCGATCAAAGGTTGTATCAAAGTGTTCTTGAAGTAACTCTGTTGTAATGGCTTCCCTGTTGATCTGATGAATAATGTATAAATGAAGCATTACTTTGTCTCTCTTACCGAACTGAAGGATTCCTTTCAAAATACTCCAACATTCCATCAAGATCTGACTAAAATCTCTTTACTTTTTAGCATTGGCAACATTTGCTTATACTTTCACATACTTTAAATCTTGCTTCAACACGTCTCTCTGTTTGATGATCATCCACAGCTGTCATCATTAATAAAAATAAAAATAAAATAAAATGCATAAACTTTTTTTTAAATAAATTAGCATTTCATGGACAAGACTACGCAAGAACAAGTACTTTTGTATGTAGCCAAGAATCTGGACAATATTCCTTTTAAGACATTAAGGCTAGGAGAAGTCGAATTAAGCGACAAGGAAAAGCTTGAACAAATGAAATCAACACTTGAATTAGATCCTGGGCTATTTCTTAGCAAATGGGGTCGCCATTTATCTCAAAGTACGCTTTCATTATTTCAATGTCTACAAGATGATTACGAAGTCAACTTTTATTTGTCTTCTCTTCTTTACAAGCAAAGTCCACCCTTATTACCTAGAGAAAATGCACGACAACAAAAGTCTGCTTTACACACTCTTTCACTAAACAGAAGATATGAATATCTTAAACGTCAATTACGGCATTCAGACTATTTTTCTGATGAAGCTATGCAATTAAGAGAACCAGAACTATATGAACAATTTGTAGGAAGACATGTACCAGCAAGTGAAAAGAACAAGCCTTTTGAAAATGACGTTACTCTAGTCAACCGAATTTTGAGCAATATTGATCGAAAATATGTTAGTGATAGGCTGGATGAGCAGCGACAAATTGAAGAAGAGCAATTTGAGGAAGAAGAAGATACAGATGATGAAGATATAAAAATGAAAGATATTCAAGAAGCACCTAGTAGTATAGCTTCTGAAAGAACAGGCGAGGCAGACGATGGGAATATTGAAGAGGTGGAGGATGAAGATATTGAAGCTGTGATGCAATATAGGGAAGAGCAAAGACAGGAGCTTATAAGATTACTAGAAGAGAAGTTTTTGGCAGGGAAAGATGTAAGTGTCGCTTAAAAGGTGTTGACAACGATATTCATTGTTATGTTTAAGGATTTTGACTACACAGCAGTTGATTATAATGAAGTAAGTGCGCCTATAAATAAATGGATAATATAACCAACTATACTTGAATAGGAATATGATGACCTTGACCAGCAAGAAAGAGATATCCAAGACAAGTATTTTGATGAAGATGACAATCTTGATTAAAAAGAAAGCATAATTAAAACCAATAAAGACCTTAGATGAAGGTGGTATATAAAAGATTTATTTAAAAACAAAATTAAAGAAATATATAATTTTTGTACCCCACAACTTGGCTAAAACGCTATAATTAGCAAACTAAGAAAGAAACCGGAATTTGCCGAAGTTGACTGGAAAGAGTAGCGCCTTTCTGTAAGCAGAGCTGCAGTCTTTAAGAGGATGAATTCATCTGTTGGTGGAACAATGGTGTATTCAGTGCTTCGTCGAAGTCAGTGTCTTCCAGAGTCTGGTGTCAACATTCGAGCCTGGACGTAGGTCTAGGCTGGGAGGTTGTTCAATACTGGGGAACCGCCCGAGGCTAGCAATAGAGCAGGGAAAACCTAGAGCACTGGCACGGCTGTAAGATAGCACGATGGAGAAGTTACTTGGATACACTACCACTACGGGTGGGAACTGCCCTTTTACCTTTTTTCCCATTGATTTTTTTAAAGCTGCTGTAAGGAGAACGAAGTTGAAACCGTTTCATGGTGATACCCTTTTTGGTATCTTATACTCTGCATGTCCAATGCAAGTTTTAATGATTTATGATTTAT